GTCCAGCTGACAGCTAAGAGTTCCCTAACAAATGTACTGCACCTTGTTTTCCCCTCTTGGAGCCGCCTCAAGAAAGACTGGAGATTGCCACTGGTTGTCAGTCAGCTGTCGCAAAACTGCTCCTGTCGCTGAGTCATATGCATCAAACAGAAATACTCGAAGGAGCATTGGGGTCGTGATGCATAAACATGGCTGCGTTTTAAATGGCTTCCTCGACTTTAAAGAAAGAAAGTCTAGCCACATTGTTTACAGTCTCGTGCTCCGTAGTCCCTCGAAGTATGTCTGTGAGTGGTCTTATGACAGAGGCACAGTTCGGAATGAACCTTCGGTACTAACTCGCTAGGCCAGTGAAAGTGTGGAGCTGCTTCACAGTGGTCGGCTGTGGACAGCTCATGATGGCCGCCATTTTATCTCTCCACAGGCGTATGCCTTTGTTGTCAATGGTATGCCCAAGAAAGCTGAGTGGTTCAACTCCTATCACACACTTCTGCATGCCGACTGCGATACCGTGTTTTCTCAGTCTACCGAATACGAGGTCCAAATGTTTGGGGTGCGTTTTCTTTATCTGGACTCGTAATTAGACAGTCACCGATGTAAACCGTGGAAGACATCATCCATAAAGTGCTGGAATGTTTGTGCTGCATTCCGAAGATCAGATGGCGTGCTCAGGAATTCAAACAAAATAAACGGAGTAATAATGGCTGTTTTTGTAAAATCTTCTGTTGCCATAGGCATCCGGTTGTACACTTTGACCGGGTAGATTTTAGAGAAAATGTTCATCCCGCATAACGTCGCAGTCAAGTCGTAAAGGTGAGGTATCAGGTAGCAGTCCGGTGTTGGTTTAGCGTTAAGCCTCCAGTAGTTGCCGGTTGGACGCCAGTCGTTGCTATCCTTTCAGGGAACCATATGCACTTGTGATGCCCAAGAACTACTTGGGGGTTTGATAACGATTAGTCCAGGCATGTGGTTGAATTCGCTCTTTCAACACGTTCATAATTCCCAATGTAACATCAGATAAATATATTCAGCAGAGAGAACTCTCCTCAAAGGACTGTGCCCAAGTATAACTTGACTTCCTTGGGGAGACGCCCGTGGAAAACAGCTATCGTAGGCGATTTTTCTGCAAGAATATTCAAGGGCAACATGCGAAACCAGTCATCAGCTTAGTTTCTAAGAAGGTTTTGTTGATGAATCTGAACTTTAAGGGTGATGCAGCACCAGCTATTCCAAAAAACCATTTTTTTAGACCAACGAATGGGACATTTTTCTCAGCTAAGCTTCATTCAATCTTTACCGGTCGTAAAGTGCTCTCCGTTTGTACTAAAGATAATATCCCTCGACAGGTCGCATCCATGTGTATCTACCAGTCCACCTAATTTTGTGAGGTAGGGTTCGTCGGCCGTGGTCACAGACTGCTGTCAGCATGTATACGAGAACATATTCCGGCCTGGCTTTATAAGGGTAAAAGAAAACGCATCAGAAGTCCTATTCTTGAGCAGTTAATCGACTCCAACCATTCAACCAGCTGAAACAGTGGCTTTAACGTTGTCTATAGAATTGGCTCAGAAAACGTCACGCTTTCCCTTTGTTCGGCTTCTAAAAACACTTGTGTGCAAAAGAAGTGTGTACAGTCTTTGTCTCTACCTTGACCATAACTTAATTTTGGTTTTGGTGTGCTTCGTTCCTTTGTCATTTCCTGCCCCCTTTCGGTCAGACTAATCTTTGTTCTCTTATATCGCCATTATCACTTTATTTTTTATTTGATTACTTCAGGTGTTGTTTCATTTGATCTTCGCGATAATCGCAACTTTTAACGTAACATCTTCGGTTTGTTCCGATTAACTTGTTTCACCCATGTTACCGAGTCCTTTGATTGTTTGTCAGCTGTACTATGTTTTCACCCCCTTTACAATCTATATGCACCTTATAAACAATTTAGAGTCTTATGTAACCCTTCTTGTTATCATTTGACCTTCACTTCATCAACTGGCAACACTACTGTCATAACCGCTACCATTGTTATTTTAACCTCCCATTATTTAAGTTCAATCTTCCTCACCGATTACAGTCTTAAAATACTATACACATACGTATGTACAGCTTGAGAATAAATTTGTTGAAAAGAGTCCTTTTCGCTGAATATCCTGTTCTTGAATTCACTTTTGACGTTTTGAGCTTATCGGGAGCTAGACGGCGTGCTTTGGATGCTACAAGTGAACATGTGGTTGTGACGTGATGCATACCGTTGCTGGTTGTGCACAGAAGAGTATGCGTCGGCTATCATAACTCCAGATAATTCTCTAACACTGCTTGGTGGGATGCATCGCCTGAGCGTTTAGTTCTAACTGTGGCGGTGGTGGTGCCGACGATAGATATCTTTGTGTCGTTGTCTGTCAGTTGTCGATGACGAGTATTGACAAGTGGATCGTAATGGTTTAGCAAACCCATGTCGATGACGGGCATAGAAACGTCAGCCGGGAGGAAAATCCAGTGAATAGGTTTACGTAGACCCAAGTTGAGGTAGGCATGTCGTCTTTCAAATGTTGGGATTGCCTTGCAGTTGGCTGCTTGAAGATCGAAGGATGGGTCATGATGACATTTCTTTGTGGGTGCGTGAGGAACGCCAACCCTTGTGACAACGTCAGCGAGATAGTGAACTTTTGTGTTTGTGTCAGTGACATAAAGCAAACGGCTTTTTCTGCCGGCTGAGGTTGCCGTTAACGCGTTACGGCAGGACAGTCTCCCGAGTCTAGGTCCATGTTGAAACTGCATGGTTTCCGAAATTTTCTGGCTTTGTCCCCACAGGTACGGTGTTACCAGCATCATCTAGGGGGTTTTATGTACTGTTAGGTCCGTTTAAAGACAACCATGCGAGTTGCTATGATGGGCTGAGGTGGGTTTCTGTGATGTGCTGCGTAACCTAAGGTTTTGGGTTCATAACAGCCTTTTTTACAGAGTTGCGCAGCTTCGTTTCTTCTGAATCCCGGATTTCCGGTTTATCGCAGGCCGAATATATGTTGTGGGTGGGTCTGCTAGAGATCTCCAGTATTGTGTCTGCTGACGCTACCAGGTCATCGAGTGGAACTGGCTGAAGTCTCACTAACGTGGTTTGCACTGGTTGTCGTAGTTTGGAGAGAAACAGTTCCCGGTAAAAGCCTTTATCGAACGTTCGTGTGCTCGTTACTTCCAGCATGCGTCCGAGGACTTCAGTGGCTGAGCTTCCGCCTAGCTCGATGTTGCGAAGCAATTTGTCTAGGTGCTGGTGCTATATGGGATCAATTACTTCAGGGCTAAACATATACGCAGTAACGTGCTTGTTTAATTCCCTCGGCAGTGAACGTATGGCAACACGAAATCAAAGATGTGGATCTGCATTGTCTGGTCAGTGCAACACCGGTCGGACGATATTCGTTGTCGCCGTAATGCGGATAAGCCTCTGAGTATGCTCAGGCATGAAAAGGAGTTATGTACGGATATATAAAGATTATGGAGGTAAAAAAGATATGCAAGTGTAAAATGTAGCGTGCTCATCCGTTAAAGAAGATTCTTCGGTCGGTCTCACCAATTTAGGAATTGTTCTGATGCGAACTTTACAAACTCAAAGGTCGATCACTAAATATTCGTACTTGTTATGTACCAACGAATACGGGACCAGGAAAGATCACAGTAGCGTAGTCGGATAGAACACCATATTTGCGAAGTCGTGCCAAGATACCGACATGTTCCAACCAACTGGCCAGAGGATCGATTATAAGCGGTGCAAGATAACACGACGGCTTGTTAAATGGTGCAGATACTTGACGAGATGCCTTCAGCTTAGTGGGTCCAGTTAAGCTATCAAGGTCAGCATCCATGTTGAATCTTGCCAATACTAGGCCATTGATTCTGGAGAAGTATGTGGCACTACAAAACCAATGAAAGAAACTAAGTTGGCACCAAAGAGAAGAAGCAAAGAAAAGGATGGGCTGATCACTTCAAAAAACTCTTGAATAGACCACCACCATCACCTGCAGCCACCGAACTATCAGTGAACACAAGCCTTCAGATAAAAGCAGAAGTTGAGTCCTGAACACCGAAAAACACTCGTGCTCCATGCCCTTTGATTCGCAATGGAAAGCTCAGTGATACCTTCGAAGTGAAGACAGGAAGTAGTGAGACAATGCTGCTGCCTACAATCACCGATGATCTTCCTGGTTGTGGTCAACTGAACTAGACTGGATCACGCAGCGGACTGTGAGGAGCGAGATGAGCATGCGCTGGTTGAAGGATGAAAAGACCCTAGAAGATTTGGATTTCACCGATGATTATTTATGTTTAATGTCTGGTAGCGCAAACTCGAAGATCTACAGGCGAAAATCAACAAGCTGGCGGAAGAGGCAGGGGATTGATAACAGGATTTCCGGTGAATGTTGAGAAGACGGAGCTGATGAAGATACTCAACCGGCCACGAGCACCAATCACCGCAAACGAGAGAGATTCGGACCGAGAAATTAAACTCTAATTATGATACACTTTATGTATTAGGCTTCTGATGCACATCAATAAATAATGAGTTTCAGTTATTTTGATATCGGACACAGATAAGAATTTTTCGAATTAAAAAAATGATTGTAGATACATCTGAGTAGATATTTTGTTAGAATTTTATCCTTTCAATGTTCAGTCGAGTTGATCTTCACGAACGGTTTTGTTTTATTATAGTGCTCATCATTCAATAAATTTAAAATAGCTGGTGGTCTAAAATTACTCCAGTTTATGACTAAAATAATTATTTTTCTTGAAAATTCTTTTTACAAATAAGCATTGATACATAAAAGAGTGAGAGAGAGAGAGAGACGTTTATTCAGAAAATAAAAACTGTTCGGTTTTTGCCATAGTCAGAAGTTGAAATATGGATAGAAGATACAGTACTCTATGGTTAATGAAATACGTAAAATATATATACATAGGTTCAAAATCTAGTATCCATTTTCTTATTCAGTTTTCTTCTTGTTATTGATCTACTCATCATGTTCAGACGGCAGAGTTGCATTTGTCATATCTGATCCTAATGAACTTAGTGATTCGCGTTTTTCATAGGGTGATGTTGAACTACTAACTGACTGTTGTCGTTGTTTTCTATCGATTTTTAACTTACTACCCTGCTTTTGTCGTAGTAATTGATTTGACTTGCCAGGTGATTGGTGATCTACAGTAACTTGTGCCTGATTATCATTGGCTAATGTATCACTGTGTTTTCTATACCTAGGACTTATTCCATCTTGTGCAGTATTATTATTGTTATCATATTCTTGTTCTAGTCGCATTAAACGACGTTTCAGTTTGGCATGACTTGATCCAAATTCACCAATTAATCTAGCTAAACGTGTTGTTAGTTGGTTAACTGTATTATCGATTCGCTGAACGCATTGTTCAATGGATTCTTGCTGTTCTTGTGCCTGCCGTAATATTTCTTCATCTAACAAATTGTCTTTCCGTAATATATCTTGACCACGTTGCATTAAGATTGTTTTAGTCTCTGGATATTCAGTTAATGCATCCCAAAGATCATCTTTACTGAGACAAAACAAATCTGAGTAGCCAACAGATCGTACATTTGCTGATCTACGGTTACCAGTCTTGTTTCCTATAAATTGCATTTAAAAGAACGGAACGGGGCGCAATCTAAAAGCGCAGTTTGAGCGTGAAATAATCCACACTAAAATTGGCGCCCATGGTCAGTTGTTACGCAAGTTGCATATCTGGAGTTCGCTACCCATCTTTCCACGAAAACACAAGCAACTGTTTCGGCAGTAGTATCCTTAGTAGGTACTGCCTCTGGCCATCGCGTAAAACTATCCACGCAGGTGAAAAGGTAGGCACATTCATTGGGTTCCGGTAGAGGTCCTACGAAATGTACATGGTCTTGGTCGAAGCGTACTTTTGGGCTAGAAAAGAAGCTAATGGGCCTTTCGTGTATCGCGTCACTTTACACTTCTGACGAGCTTAACACTACTGAGCCCACTTCTTAACGTCTTTGTTCATACCCAGCCAGTGCATTAAGCCTGGTGATGGCTCTTACACGATATGGGATGGTTTGTGAAATGTGTCGAAGACGTTGGGTCGGCACTCCCTGGAAACTGTCAGGCGTGGTTGACTAGCAGAGACATCCCACAAAACTGTCTCCTTGCCTGATCCCACCGGACACAGTTGTAGCTTGAGAGTTGTGGATGACAACTCATGGTGTAGCTCAAGGTCTTCTTAAAACTGAGCTAGTTCGAGGGGATCAACACTCTCGATGCGGTTTATCGAAGCTACTCGAGAAAGCGTGCCGGCTATGAGGTTATTCACTCCTGAAATGTTGCGTGACGTGAACTGGGAAATGTAATCCAGTCGTCGTGACTCACAAAAGGGGTATTCGTCAGATGTTGGGCCGAGAGAGAAAGCTAATGGTTTGTAGTCTGTGAAAATGGTGGAGCAGCAACCTTCCACCGAATGTCGAAAATGGCGTACGGTCCAGCTGACAGCTAAGAGTTCCCTAACAAATGTACTGCACCTTGTTTTCCCCTCTTGGAGCCGCCTCAAGAAAGACTGAAGATTGCCACTGGTTGTCAGTCAGCTGTCGCAAAACTGCTCCTGTCGCTGAGTCATATGCATCAAACAGAAATACTCGAAGGAGCATTGGGGTCGTGATGCATAAACATGGCTGCGTTTTAAATGGCTTCCTCGACTTTAAAGAAAGAAAGTCTAGCCACATTGTTTACAGTCTCGTGCTCCGTAGTCCCTCGAAGTATGTCTGTGAGTGGTCTTATGACAGAGGCACAGTTCGGAATGAACCTTCGGTACTAACTCGCTAGGCCAGTGAAAGTGTGGAGCTGCTTCACAGTGGTCGGCTGTGGACAGCTCATGATGGCCGCCATTTTATCTCTCCACAGGCGTATGCCTTTGTTGTCAATGGTATGCCCAAGAAAGCTGAGTGGTTCAACTCCTATCACACACTTCTGCATGCCGACTGCGATACCGTGTTTTCTCAGTCTACCGAATACGAGGTCCAAATGTTTGGGGTGCGTTTTCTTTATCTGGACTCGTAATTAGACAGTCACCGATGTAAACCGTGGAAGACATCATCCATAAAGTGCTGGAATGTTTGTGCTGCATTCCGAAGATCAGATGGCGTGCTCAGGAATTCAAACAAAATAAACGGAGTAATAATGGCTGTTTTTGTAAAATCTTCTGTTGCCATAGGCATCCGGTTGTACACTTTGACCGGGTAGATTTTAGAGAAAATGTTCATCCCGCATAACGTCGCAGTCAAGTCGTAAAGGTGAGGTATCAGGTAGCAGTCCGGTGTTGGTTTAGCGTTAAGCCTCCAGTAGTTGCCGGTTGGACGCCAGTCGTTGCTATCCTTTCAGGGAACCATATGCACTTGTGATGCCCAAGAACTACTTGGGGGTTTGATAACGATTAGTCCAGGCATGTGGTTGAATTCGCTCTTTCAACACGTTCATAATTCCCAATGTAACATCAGATAAATATATTCAGCAGAGAGAACTCTCCTCAAAGGACTGTGCCCAAGTATAACTTGACTTCCTTGGGGAGACGCCCGTGGAAAACAGCTATCGTAGGCGATTTTTCTGCAAGAATATTCAAGGGCAACATGCGAAACCAGTCATCAGCATAGTTTCTAAGAAGGTTTTGTTGATGAATCTGAACTTTAAGGGTGATGCAGCACCAGCTATTCCAAAAAACCATTTTTTTAGACCAACGAATGGGACATTTTTCTCAGCTAAGCTTCATTCAATCTTTACCGGTCGTAAAGTGCTCTCCGTTTGTACTAAAGATAATATCCCTCGACAGGTCGCATCCATGTGTATCTACCAGTCCACCTAATTTTGTGAGGTAGGGTTCGTCGGCCGTGGTCACAGACTGCTGTCAGCATGTATACGAGAACATATTCCGGCCTGGCTTTATAAGGGTAAAAGAAAACGCATCAGAAGTCCTATTCTTGAGCAGTTAATCGACTCCAACCATTCAACCAGCTGAAACAGTGGCTTTAACGTTGTCTATAGAATTGGCTCAGAAAACGTCACGCTTTCCCTTTGTTCGGCTTCTAAAAACACTTGTGTGCAAAAGAAGTGTGTACAGTCTTTGTCTCTACCTTGACCATAACTTAATTTTGGTTTTGGTGTGCTTCGTTCCTTTGTCATTTCCTGCCCCCTTTCGGTCAGACTAATCTTTGTTCTCTTATATCGCCATTATCACTTTATTTTTTATTTGATTACTTCAGGTGTTGTTTCATTTGATCTTCGCGATAATCGCAACTTTTAACGTAACATCTTCGGTTTGTTCCGATTAACTTGTTTCACCCATGTTACCGAGTCCTTTGATTGTTTGTCAGCTGTACTATGTTTTCACCCCCTTTACAATCTATATGCACCTTATAAACAATTTAGAGTCTTATGTAACCCTTCTTGTTATCATTTGACCTTCACTTCATCAACTGGCAACACTACTGTCATAACCGCTACCATTGTTATTTTAACCTCCCATTATTTAAGTTCAATCTTCCTCACCGATTACAGTCTTAAAATACTATACACATACGTATGTACAGCTTGAGAATAAATTTGTTGAAAAGAGTCCTTTTCGCTGAATATCCTGTTCTTGAATTCACTTTTGACGTTTTGAGCTTATCGGGAGCTAGACGGCGTGCTTTGGATGCTACAAGTGAACATGTGGTTGTGACGTGATGCATACCGTTGCTGGTTGTGCACAGAAGAGTATGCGTCGGCTATCATAACTCCAGATAATTCTCTAACACTGCTTGGTGGGATGCATCGCCTGAGCGTTTAGTTCTAACTGTGGCGGTGGTGGTGCCGACGATAGATATCTTTGTGTCGTTGTCTGTCAGTTGTCGATGACGAGTATTGACAAGTGGATCGTAATGGTTTAGCAAACCCATGTCGATGACGGGCATAGAAACGTCAGCCGGGAGGAAAATCCAGTGAATAGGTTTACGTAGACCCAAGTTGAGGTAGGCATGTCGTCTTTCAAATGTTGGGATTGCCTTGCAGTTGGCTGCTTGAAGATCGAAGGATGGGTCATGATGACATTTCTTTGTGGGTGCGTGAGGAACGCCAACCCTTGTGACAACGTCAGCGAGATAGTGAACTTTTGTGTTTGTGTCAGTGACATAAAGCAAACGGCTTTTTCTGCCGGCTGAGGTTGCCGTTAACGCGTTACGGCAGGACAGTCTCCCGAGTCTAGGTCCATGTTGAAACTGCATGGTTTCCGAAATTTTCTGGCTTTGTCCCCACAGGTACGGTGTTACCAGCATCATCTAGGGGGTTTTATGTACTGTTAGGTCCGTTTAAAGACAACCATGCGAGTTGCTATGATGGGCTGAGGTGGGTTTCTGTGATGTGCTGCGTAACCTAAGGTTTTGGGTTCATAACAGCCTTTTTTACAGAGTTGCGCAGCTTCGTTTCTTCTGAATCCCGGATTTCCGGTTTATCGCAGGCCGAATATATGTTGTGGGTGGGTCTGCTAGAGATCTCCAGTATTGTGTCTGCTGACGCTACCAGGTCATCGAGTGGAACTGGCTGAAGTCTCACTAACGTGGTTTGCACTGGTTGTCGTAGTTTGGAGAGAAACAGTTCCCGGTAAAAGCCTTTATCGAACGTTCGTGTGCTCGTTACTTCCAGCATGCGTCCGAGGACTTCAGTGGCTGAGCTTCCGCCTAGCTCGATGTTGCGAAGCAATTTGTCTAGGTGCTGGTGCTATATGGGATCAATTACTTCAGGGCTAAACATATACGCAGTAACGTGCTTGTTTAATTCCCTCGGCAGTGAACGTATGGCAACACGAAATCAAAGATGTGGATCTGCATTGTCTGGTCAGTGCAACACCGGTCGGACGATATTCGTTGTCGCCGTAATGCGGATAAGCCTCTGAGTATGCTCAGGCATGAAAAGGAGTTATGTACGGATATATAAAGATTATGGAGGTAAAAAAGATATGCAAGTGTAAAATGTAGCGTGCTCATCCGTTAAAGAAGATTCTTCGGTCGGTCTCACCAATTTAGGAATTGTTCTGATGCGAACTTTACAAACTCAAAGGTCGATCACTAAATATTCGTACTTGTTATGTACCAACGAATACGGGACCAGGAAAGATCACAGTAGCGTAGTCGGATAGAACACCATATTTGCGAAGTCGTGCCAAGATACCGACATGTTCCAACCAACTGGCCAGAGGATCGATTATAAGCGGTGCAAGATAACACGACGGCTTGTTAAATGGTGCAGATACTTGACGAGATGCCTTCAGCTTAGTGGGTCCAGTTAAGCTATCAAGGTCAGCATCCATGTTGAATCTTGCCAATACTAGGCCATTGATTCTGGAGAAGTATGTGGCACTACAAAACCAATGAAAGAAACTAAGTTGGCACCAAAGAGAAGAAGCAAAGAAAAGGATGGGCTGATCACTTCAAAAAACTCTTGAATAGACCACCACCATCACCTGCAGCCACCGAACTATCAGTGAACACAAGCCTTCAGATAAAAGCAGAAGTTGAGTCCTGAACACCGAAAAACACTCGTGCTCCATGCCCTTTGATTCGCAATGGAAAGCTCAGTGATACCTTCGAAGTGAAGACAGGAAGTAGTGAGACAATGCTGCTGCCTACAATCACCGATGATCTTCCTGGTTGTGGTCAACTGAACTAGACTGGATCACGCAGCGGACTGTGAGGAGCGAGATGAGCATGCGCTGGTTGAAGGATGAAAAGACCCTAGAAGATTTGGATTTCACCGATGATTATTTATGTTTAATGTCTGGTAGCGCAAACTCGAAGATCTACAGGCGAAAATCAACAAGCTGGCGGAAGAGGCAGGGGATTGATAACAGGATTTCCGGTGAATGTTGAGAAGACGGAGCTGATGAAGATACTCAACCGGCCACGAGCACCAATCACCGCAAACGAGAGAGATTCGGACCGAGAAATTAAACTCTAATTATGATACACTTTATGTATTAGGCTTCTGATGCACATCAATAAATAATGAGTTTCAGTTATTTTGATATCGGACACAGATAAGAATTTTTCGAATTAAAAAAATGATTGTAGATACATCTGAGTAGATATTTTGTTAGAATTTTATCCTTTCAATGTTCAGTCGAGTTGATCTTCACGAACGGTTTTGTTTTATTATAGTGCTCATCATTCAATAAATTTAAAATAGCTGGTGGTCTAAAATTACTCCAGTTTATGACTAAAATAATTATTTTTCTTGAAAATTCTTTTTACAAATAAGCATTGATACATAAAAGAGTGAGAGAGAGAGAGAGACGTTTATTCAGAAAATAAAAACTGTTCGGTTTTTGCCATAGTCAGAAGTTGAAATATGGATAGAAGATACAGTACTCTATGGTTAATGAAATACGTAAAATATATATACATAGGTTCAAAATCTAGTATCCATTTTCTTATTCAGTTTTCTTCTTGTTATTGATCTACTCATCATGTTCAGACGGCAGAGTTGCATTTGTCATATCTGATCCTAATGAACTTAGTGATTCGCGTTTTTCATAGGGTGATGTTGAACTACTAACTGACTGTTGTCGTTGTTTTCTATCGATTTTTAACTTACTACCCTGCTTTTGTCGTAGTAATTGATTTGACTTGCCAGGTGATTGGTGATCTACAGTAACTTGTGCCTGATTATCATTGGCTAATGTATCACTGTGTTTTCTATACCTAGGACTTATTCCATCTTGTGCAGTATTATTATTGTTATCATATTCTTGTTCTAGTCGCATTAAACGACGTTTCAGTTTGGCATGACTTGATCCAAATTCACCAATTAATCTAGCTAAACGTGTTGTTAGTTGGTTAACTGTATTATCGATTCGCTGAACGCATTGTTCAATGGATTCTTGCTGTTCTTGTGCCTGCCGTAATATTTCTTCATCTAACAAATTGTCTTTCCGTAATATATCTTGACCACGTTGCATTAAGATTGTTTTAGTCTCTGGATATTCAGTTAATGCATCCCAAAGATCATCTTTACTGAGACAAAACAAATCTGAGTAGCCAACAGATCGTACATTTGCTGATCTACGGTTACCAGTCTTGTTTCCTATAAATTGCATTTAAAAGAACAGAAAAGAACAAGTAAGTAGTGAAATTTAGCTACTGTAGTAAACGTGTTTGTTATCAAACTGTGTCAGTGGAATTTCATAAAGTGTCAGGTACAGAAGTCTTTTTGATATGCTTTTAGACAGTCAGAGCTATTAACCAGGCCTCATTTACACGTCAACAATACAACAGCTTTAAACACCTCACATGCAGTCATTGATCATAACTAGTTACAGACCTAATTTGATTCAAATCCCATTTGAATTGGGCTTGCTGATTTGACCAAGTACATTCAACATCATTAGTATAAATTCAGCCTTCTACAGGAAATTAAAGGTAATACTGTGCAGGCAGCAACTGGTGTCGAAATTTCACTTCCTTTATATCCAACTTTAACAAGAAGTTGACAATTCAGTCCAGAGATCTGTTTACAGAAACCCCACTTCGAACGGGCACTTTATAAGTCTTCGAAGCCGTTTCCCCTTAAGCAGAAAGGGGAATTTTATCAACTCACTTTCCTCAAGAATACGAAAACTATGCATGGAGGATACCATCAAAGGTGAATTAGAAAACTTACGAGAAATCCTGATGAGAAGTTGATAGTCTGTGAAATTCATAGATAAGAATCTAAAGCCAAGAAATACCATGGAACGCTTGCATGCTGCTCCGAAAATGATTTTACCGTTGAACCTTGAATTCAAAGGAGATGATGCGGAATATATACTTAGAAAGAGACCATCAAGACCCCTAAACAGAACATTCTTCACCTCCATTGTTAGATTCACATTCTGCAGTCAAAAACTCATTCATGAGTAGGTGAAGAACAACGTGGAGGATTGAGCCACATTATTGTGTAAACATCAGGTTACTTGCTGCTGTGGGGTCACATAAATCAGTCGTACGATCCATCAGCTTGTGCAATGCTCTCATAAACACTGCCCAATCTGGCTGATAAGTCGGAGAACAAAAGTTCATTTCCAACTCTGCAACACAGCTCTTACGAGACTCAAGATATTTGGCTCTTTTTGGTAAGTCCTTCAAGGTTTTGTACAAAGTGTGACCAAGTCACTCAAAAAGAGTAAGGTTGAGAAATTCGAGCATAGCTGAAGAAATAGCAATTTAAAAGTTCAAACCATTATTATGCGTTTAAAAGAAGTATATACAACCTCTTTCTTTGCCGTGGTCATCGTAGAGTACCTATCCTTGTAGATGATTTCTGTATGACATCAACTACTTTTTTTGCAATCATTTTGTTGATTTTCATATTTTAAACCACCATATGCATTACATAACTTTCCCTTGTAATGCAGTTTATATTGACCCTTGATCGAAAATTACTGTGGAATGTTCTTTTCTTTCTACTATATATTCATGAATGTACAGCTAAGAGATTGATTGCATCGAAGAGAAAAGGTTTTCGATATTTGGTATTAAATAATGTAAAGCATCTTGAAGGTAGTCAGATCCTTAGTTTCGAAGATACATTTATTTTCTAGAATAACAGTTAAGTAGCCGTAGACATGTTCACGTTTTATCGAAACGGATAGTTTTCATGACGTTCACAAGCTTCAGTGTCTGTAATTATGTATTGCTTATATATAAATATACATATGCATATGTCTACACAGTTGTCACGTAAAATGAATAAACTATTTTCTGAAGTCTGTTTTGATTGGGTTGGTTCTCTTTCTACTATTTGATAATTCTTTTCAAATATTCATTAAATGACTTTACGATTTTATGCTATTTGACTTCTACTTCATTCCCTAAATATTTTGTGGTTAGTTATATGTAAACATCTATTCACCATGTAAACTACTGAAATATCGCAATATAAGTCAGGAAGGCTGATGAAGGTTATGGTGAAATGAATGTTTCATGTTTACTACTGATCATTTCCCTGATAAAAGTAACATTCATATGTTTCTTCTACTGCCATAAAACTAAACAAAGCCTAATATGCAGTTTTGACAGAACTCGGTATATGATTGTATGAGTGATGAATTTTTACACACTGATATGGTAAATACTTACCAGCAATATTCAAAATGGATATTTCTCCGAAAACAGAGCCTTCACCCAATGTAACAAATACTGTTTTTCCGTCTTCAGATACAACACTAAGTTTGCCACGTTTAACTATATACATTTCTTTTCCAATATCACCTTTACGACAGATATAATCGCCTGGTGAGAAAACTTGTAACTGGAGCTTGAGCACAAGCTCAACCAGGAGCCCAGGATCACAGTCCTAAAGTATGTAAGGGAAATCAAACAAACTTGTTTGCAGTAACCTGTTTTAAACAAACTCACTGATCCTACCGAAAGAAAGAAAAACATTTCAAAAGCAGCTTTTCTTCATCTACTCAAAGAACCTTGACAAGGTTAAATATGTTGTCTTGCCTTCTAAAATCAACTCAGAATGCAAACTAGTCTCAATAAAAGTTTCCCTAGTAATTCCTGTGGAGTGGCATGACTGGATAAGCATCGTCCACCTCGGCTGGAAGGTTGATTAGTCAGATAAACTTATACCAAATCCTGTGGATTAGGAGTGAGTAAGTAAGTTTCAGACCATTCCCACAAGTGATTTATGTATCTGTTTTAAAAAAACCAAGTTGTCCAATTTTCCACATCAAATAATTTATTTAGGAATAAATTTTCACGGATTTCTGAGGCTTTTTCAATAAAGTGAGGTATTTTATTTGGAGGATGAAAGTGGAATTCATGACATACGTCTCACTCATTTTGGAACTCATCAGCTGGATATACCTGCACCTCAGTGAGCGATGATGTTCCCACTGAGATTCGAACCTAGTACCCATTGCTTCGAACACCAAAGCGTTGTCCGCTAGGCCACTGAGGGACAAGAGGGGAGTTTCATAACTCAGCGACCTGGTGGATAATGCTTTGTCATTTCGAGCAGTGGTTTCTGGGTTCGAGTCACCACGTAAACACCACCACTCACTAAGGTATAGATTTGTCCATCTGGTGTATCCCAAAGAGGACGGACCGTACGTCCTAGATTCCACCACTAACCATCAGGAAAAAATCATGATAGGATTAATGGTAAAGGAGTATCAAAGCATACGCTTAGGAACCCATATATCAGCATATATCAGTCAGTTCGCCCCGCTATACCAAATGGGACGTTACACGAGTCAGTAAGTGAGATGCTATTTGTATAGGAGTGTATCGCTGGCAATGAATTATTTATTTTCAGGTTGTTCACATTCCTTATAATTTGATTAAAAATATCTTGGTGAAAAATACTAAAATCAAATTTATCAATGGGCGTTTACTGAAGACACGAGGACAAATTTTAAGGTCTAGTAAACTGGTTAGACTAATAAGCAATACCGTTAGTTGTGCGTTCAACTCCCGGCTACAACGCAAAATATAATCATGGAACCTTTGCTTTCCTTATTTGCTTTTCTAATTTAGGTTTTGCTGGGCATTATCCGTCAGTTTAGCTACTACCTTTTACACAACTTCATTTAAAAAGCCTTTTTCCCGAAGATGAAGGGTTACATAAGACGAGTTAGTCAAAATATACGTTATCCAGAGGATAAGTGTTCGCTTATTACACAGATCTGATAGTTGAGAGAATACAGGGGTTCAGAACTGATATTACTACGATTTGGGTACGTTGCCCGAAATTCAATCCTTGTCCGGAGAGTATGTGTTAAATAAACCCCGATGAGTAAATTTACCAAACAGTCTTTAGTCGACCAACTGTACTTTCATAGTAGGTCACTACAGTGCACTATACAGTAGCGTTTACCATAGTCCTGTGATGTCGATGAATGTTGCTATATACTCCTAATTTTGCATAGCTTCACCTACTGTTTTATCCATGCCCGCAAAATAACCTACATAGCTGTTATCACACTGTTACTAGTTTTTCTTTCTTCTGTTCTCAAGGCTGAACTCTTATTGGTTGTTAAGTATTTTTACCATTATGTGGATTTAGCGTCGTCAGTTTCATTTAGAAATGTATATATTCATCGCTGCTAACCTACAAGGAAGGAACATCAGAAACTTTACGTGAGATTCTCAACAAGGTTGGATTCAGGGTGGGGTTTAAACCTATAAACTCACTTTGGGATAAGCTTTGTCGACTTCAGAATGCTTTAGATACAATTAAACAAAATAATCGAATCTATTAAATTCTATGCAATGACTATGAGGTCAAGTATGTAGGTCAAACTAGCTGGTTGGGGTCAGTTACATTATCGGAAGATAAGAATTCAGGTAAATATAGAACAGAATGAATGACAGAACCCAATGGCATCGGTAATTTAGAAGAAAACTCAGCCATCGTAAGGCATGCATTAACACAACCATACAGTAGGGTGGAACGAAACCACTGTACATAAGTTTAATATAATTAAATGAAGAGACAGAGAGTTTGGTTACTAAATCTTTGTTTATCGAATCAGTACCTAACAGGTATAGTAGGAGCGATGCAACACCTATACCAGAGATTTGGAAAACTTTACTACCAATAAAAACAAAGAATATGTGGTTGACGGAATCATAAAAATTGACTGCTGAAAGTGGTGTGATGACATCGATATGATTGAAAACAATAGTTTAGGCTCGAAATATCATCAAGTAAATAATACCGTATCACTGTGCGATACATATCAAATAAACAAGACGAATATGGAATTATGTGCTGCAACAGTCAGTGGTCAAATTTTACGCTTTTATTATTTTACATTGAATCTGTACTGAAAAATATATTTACACTTGAAAATCTATCACTGAATTGAACAATCTCTTTTTCTTTCAGTTAGTTAGAAAATAATGGTTTGAGAGAATCTAAATCTGAATTTCAATCTGAAACCAGTAAATAAATCCCAACAAATCTCCAGTATGAATAATTCTATTACTCACAAGTGACTTGCTTCAAGAGATCATTCCCGAAGTTCTAATAAGAAGTCCTGACCGGTTAGGCTAACCAAGTCGAACATGAGGACAGTTATTCAACAAATTCATTGGATGGAGGTCACGGTGTAACTTGAACTGAGAAAAGTAGGAGATTTTCTCCATCGAATGGTAACCTAGTGCCTCAGTGGCAACTTGCTGGTCACAGAACCGAAAGCCTTGGGTTCGATCTATGGCTGCGTCATGGTTGTGCACTGTTAAGGACTCTCATACTAGAACGAAACAGTTATCCCGTGCTCTCAGGTTTTCAGTGGTTCTCCTGTTCACGTCAGTACATAATGAATATCAACGTAAAATCAATAAACAAATAGCTGGAAATATCCAAATCGTATTTTGAAAGACGTTTTGGTGCGGATAACATGGATGACGCATATCTATTTCAGTTTTGAATTAGCTGATATAGAATTGAATGAGCTTTTCAAAAACAAGGTTGTATGTCTGTGAACTGTTCTGAAGCATACAGTAGGTTTCATAAAATTTTTGAGGTGGGCACATTGAACTATATCCTTTCTTGCTGCGCTGGTAATTATGCATTTATTTTACAACAATTATTTCATATAGTTTTATTTTCACCTAAGGGATTTATTTTTCGGTCACATTTATTCTGCATTTAACGAATATGGTAAATGATCTGTCGTAATAGGCTTAGAAAGTGTACTGCATGTCAGTCATTGACCTCCACTTATATTCTATGACCAGTGCTTATAGTCTTTTATCTGTAATTTCCAGGGCACAAGGTTATTTTATATTTCAGGAAATATATATAAAGCAGCTTTTTTTCACCACACAAATAGATGGATGGATGCTCTAGAATCGAGTAATATGGGTTTTAAGTGGATGCACTTCACTGATTCCAGTTTGTATTTTTCAGAAATGCAGTATTTTGAATTGTTTCTCAGAGTTTTAATGATCACATATAGTGTGAGAGAAACATCATAATTATGTGAGAAGTATAACAATAGGTTCCTTGCGATTATTACGAAACGATAACATCAGGAATTTCGAGTAATCTTTGGTGTCAGAAACTAAAATTTTACACTGAAATGAAGATTTTTTGAACAGAAATTGGATATGACTTCAGCTTTGAGCTTCTACATTCCGTTGTCGACTTCATAGGCCAGTTAAACTGTTAGGAAGTATAGTTTGAGGTCTATGGGGATTTTATTCATAAGGTGGTATATATCATGGATTTCCACCAACTAGAGAACCTTTGAAACCTTAGGGCACTTCACAGCTGTCTCGTCCTAGCGTGGGACTCTTCAGCAGAACTCGCCCATGACACCGTTGGGGATCGAACTCAAGGGCCTCCAGGTGCCGCAGCGAAAGCGTTAGCCATTGAGCCGCTGGTCTACAGTTTAGAGCGACTATCTATCTGCCTTCGGTTGGCATCTACTTCACTTCCAACTTGAGCCCACATGTCATAAGAGCTTCAAGGTATCCATCTCGAAGGATATCATTAATGTGGATTCTATAGTTATGTAGTTTGAGGTTTATGGAGATTTTATTTCAAGGTAGTATTCTTCATGAACTGAAATCAGTTTCAAGACCATCCAAAAAGTCTTACTTTTGGATGCTTCAGCAGTATGCACCAAAGACACCAGTTTGTTTGATGAACCAAACAATTCTGACCTTCTGATATATTGTAGATTTTAAAATTGTCACTTCATCAAGATCCAAAAGTTAATTTATTGATTATTTTCCTCATAAATGCAGAAGTGGAGCATACTTTGTTTTTAACTGAATGCATGTTAAATAAATCATGGGTCGAGTTTGATATTTCAAGTGACTTGAAAGATCACCCTAACAATTGTTGAGACAACCAATCAGATTTCTGCATTTCCTCCATGATGATAATTTTCCATAAAGTAGAGATATGTAATTGGTTATCTCAACGGTTTCTGAGGTGACCCTTAAACTCACTTGGCGTTCTCGGTAGTTAGTAAATACTGGTTTAATTTTGACCTAACCAAAGAAATCACATTACTACAGTTACTATTAGATGCAATAACAGATTTAAATCATGTAACCAATGATGACATAAGTTCTGATTTGAAAGGCGATATTTCAAACGATATGAATAACAACAACTATTTCTGATTAATATAAATTTAAATCACCACCTTTATTAAGTAGTATAAAATAATGAGTATATTACTAAAATTAAAAATAACAAGCTCACTTTGAATATACTGACACGTTGTAATGTGTCAAAATGAACGTGTATAGCGATTTCAGCCTTTAGCTTATCTGGCAAGGCATTTAAACTGTCCTCTTCTAATGATTGTTTATTTGTCCATAAATAATCAAACCATCTAATCACTCGTAATTCAAGTTCTTTGTTAACTTTACGAAATTCCATATATCTGTATTGGGCATATGGAAAAGAGTTTATGTGTCAATATACATTAAAAATGATGATGATTTTGACACTTCAAACAATGGAAACAATTCATCTGTTGAGATTCGTCCGAATACACAGTGGATGAGCTTGGATCCATACGAGTGGAATGGTCATCAATCTGATCTGGCTTGCGAAATCAAGAGATCAGCCTCAATAGTTTCTAACTAAACCAGTTGTTCAGTAGTATATTTCATCATCTGATTTATCGTTTTTCTATGCTAATAGTTAAACTTATAAATACTAAGAGAAATTTTTTACAATTAGATAATTTCTGTCTAATTCTTTATGCTTTCCTAATGTGATTGTGAAAATAATTAAACCCTAGAAGTGAGTGACGGTAAGTCTCCACAGTACCTTAGAATTGATTTTAACTGACATTACAACCTTTCCAAGTAGGATTCCCGTATGATTCTTTTGCTAAGATATTCTGACACTGAAATTCTAGAACCAAAGGTGCTGTAATGAAGTTTGTGGTTTATTTGTGGACAAACAATAAAACGGATTAATGCAGAAATATTCCAAAATATGATTCTAAAGTTATAGGTTGTGTTGCTGAATCACATTTCATTCATAGGTTTAAACAAATCGGTGTAATTTTTTCATAGAGTTTTTTAAATCTAAAATGTTAGAACATCTCTTCTAAATAAAGATGCTACCACCGTTCGTTTACTGACAACAAAACCGTTTCCTGGTTAATTTTCGCTAGAAGTTCTAAAGGCACTTAACTCCCATACGGAGTAGTAACTACTTACACACACTGCTATAGCAATTAATAGAAAATACCCTTTTGTGAACAACTACTCCAGATATTTTCAATTTTCGCTGATAAAAGTTTTTTTCTGACTTGATGGGAACTCAAACATTTGTGAGAAATAGTCTGAAAATTTGGCGGTTTGTGTGGTGGTGATGAAAAGTTTATTTTGACACCAGAAACGACTGTCATCCTAACGTTCCCTAGCTAAGTAAATTCAGTCGCTACTAGATTCCAGCTCTTAATACCATTTTTCAAACATAAAAAGTATTATATTGTACTATTGTGTAGTTATGATATCAGATGGGAACGTTTGTATCATGGCAAACTCGAAAGATAACAGAACCTGTTAAATATAGGTACTCAAGCCATAATATATGGCATCTTGATTGTGGGGGGAGGTTTTGATTATCGATGAAAAGCATCCGTTTCTTCTATTCTTTGGTCGATTGTTATTTTTATTTCTGATTGATAATTTTGATGATGTTGTGTTCTAAGTCGGATAGATCTTTGATTATATGTCGGTAGACTTTGCTTCAAACAGAACTAAGCTACAAAAATTTCTGTGAAAAGGTGATTGGTGAGTAACAGATCGCTTACCATGTTCCATCAAATTATATTTTAGAAAACGTTTTGTCACTGAGAGAAGGGTTGAACTTTACAGTTGATAGGTCAAGTTCACTTCTAACAAATTCTACTCAATACGACAGCTGTTTTGTCTTCATGTATTGTATGAAACCATTAAGGACTGATTTCATAGAGAACAGTGAATAAACACTTCTTAGATGAGATATCAACTTTTAGATCATGATGAATCACTATGAATACATCGAATAAATGTTATCCATCCTCTCTGATGAAACAAAGTTTACCAAACCCGTCGGCGAGAAGAATAAGACGGAACAGACTGAAAAACAACTAACCAAAATTCTCCGAAAATTAATGACCGGTTCTTTCATAAATTCCAAATTACTTGAGTCCCTACGACCATTTGGGTCAGATATCCCCCAACTGTAAGGACTGCCAAAAGCGCACAAAGAAGGTACACCTTTACAACCTATCCTCAGCATGACAGGATCACCGTACCATCGTATTGCCCAGTGGTTAGTCACAATCTTGGAGCCTAGAAGAAGGCGAATTTCACTTCATACAATTCGCGATTCCTTTCATTTTGCCAATTTTAAAGATAGTGTAAACTGCTCTGACAAAATCATATTCTCTTTAGATGTGGTCTCATTATTTACAAGTGTCCCTTTGACTGAGACAATATGTTCCATATGTGACTATACTGCGTCTAATGGATTAAATATTGGGATACTCACACATTAGTTGAAGGAGCTGCTGTTGAGATGCACCTTGAACGTTCAATTTTCCTTCAGCAATGAAATATGTAGATAAAAAGATGACATAGCTATGGGTTCACAGTTGGGACCCTTGCTTGCAGATTTCTTCATGTTAAAGCTATAAAACACACACACTCAACCAGTTCGATTTTTATAAGCTATAGGTAAATGATACGTTCATCATCTCCAATAGTATGGATAGTCTGGAAGGTATTCTATTTCAATTTAATAACTGTCACCCTTCAATGAGATTAACATTGGAGAATGAACTTAATTCTAAGAAATCCTTCTTAGAAGTGCAGTTAAAAAGACGAGACAATGGATTACTCAAAAGATCTATCCAGAGAAAGTTCACATGGAATGGACAACTCACGAATTTTCATAGTTGGGTGCCTCTATGCACCAAAAGAAATATAATTCGCTCCTTATGTCATAGGATCCGCACTATCTACAGTTCGGATACTTTGGAAGATGAACTAAATTTTTTCAAAAATGTTCTGATTGAAAATCAGTATCCTGAACAGTTCATCGCTGAAGCGGTGAAACTGAAAGCAAATGACGATGCCGCCCCTATAGCTCCTAAGAAGCTTCTTTTAATGAGCTTACAGTTCAGCGGAGACACAGCAGATATACTAAGAAACCGTCTGACATGCTCATTGAAAAAGACGTCCTATGTTGCCAAACTCAGACTAACTTTCTCCACTTACGCAATGCTTCAATGATATGCTAAGAATAAGCTAGCTCCTCGATGTGTATTTATCAATTCATCTGCTCCTGTGGAGTAAAGTATATCGGCCGTACTCAGCGTTCGCTTTCCGAGTGCATTTCTGAACATATTTCAACCTGGTTTTACAATGAGGAAAGAAGAACAGTTCACAGCTCTCTTTTAGAACATCTGATCGATTATGACCACCCAATAAGTGCAGAAAACAGCTTTAGTGTCATCTATAGAGTTCGCACAAATCTCACGAAAGGTGTACACTGAAAAGTCCTTTAAACTGCGGAAGCCATGACAACTAATATTTTGAAGCCTGAACTATGCCTTCAAAAGAAATTTGTCCAGTCACTTGAGTTGCAATGGACCTAACCTATAAAAACATTTCTACCTTCAAAAACCTCCTCACTTAGATCTTCTCACATATTGCATTCCTACACTCCAATAATTCTAATTTCTCTTTTCAATTACCATGTTACATCATTTTTACTTAGTAACCAATCCGATATTAGTAAGTCATCTTCTCACATAACTATTTCAAACATTACGTAATTTCTCTTGTAATCTGATTCTTAATCATACCTGAACTTTGTTTAAAAATATTTCAGTAAACATTTTTCTCCTAATGTGAATTATATATATATATATATATATATATATATATATATATATATATATATATATATATATGCGATTGTACAGCTTGAGATCGTACATTACCTCTTGTATATAATCGTTCGAAGAGATTGCTTGAACATGTTAAGAGATATTTAGCCTGATGACAAGAGCAGTATTTGAATTTCGAATTCAGCTAACTATATCCACAAAGTGTTCTTGAGTTGAATAAACTATGTTTTTGCCCTAATCAACTTACACATAAGATGATCCACCTTCAGAATAGTATTTCTGTGTGGTATACTTTAGGTTATATTGTATTTTATATACATCCAGTTTACAGTTGTTACGAATATCCTGGGAGAAGTTGAGCACCCAGTCTGATTTAATCCTGATATAAATAAGTTTTAAAATAAACCCAGTGTGTTTAGAAGATCGAGACAAGATTTTCCAAACTCACTAAGGTTGTATTAAAACTTACCCATATATAGTATTTGATTAAAAAATATTTCTTCATGTTAACATAAGAAATTAATACTGTTAAGAGGCAGGTTTTATAGCTGACAACTTTCACACATGATCGTAGCTGAACGTTTCAAGTTGAAAATCGCTTTCGTCTTACTTTTCTAGCCCTAGCTAAATAAACCTTCTCAGATTTTTAAAAACTGTTTTGCTACTTGACTACGCAAACCATTTTATTCAGTATGATGCTTTCATACCGAATCTAAGCAAACAGACATTCTACCCTGGATTGAGTTATATATTTGTAATCTCTTAAAATATCTACACAAAGCTGAAAAGCTGCTTCTTAAAGGCATTCTACTTCATCTGTGAATATGGTTACTGGTTTCAGTAAGCAGAAATAATTATTTCAGGTGACTATAAGGTCAATAGAATTATTAGAAAAGCAAGGTAGTATTTCCAAAAAGTCATAATTTTAACGGTTCTTGTTTTTTAAGAAATGAACTCAAAATTAATTGCAAAACTTTGCCACTGGCTGATTAACGAAACAAGATTTTAAGCAGTCGGGATTAATGTTCTGATTCAAATCACCTTATAAAGTTTATTATTACATGTTGTTCGTTGCAGTATGATAATGAAATCAAAGTGAACTTTGCAAAAAAACTTTTGAAAGTTATAATTGTGATCATAATTAGGATCAGTTTAGCGTCGTGTGTGTGTGTGATCAATGATGAGAGGGTGTATAATGTCGTGAAATACGCCTATTTTTCTAAACGTTATATCTAGCTAAAATGGAGCAAAACTCATTTTGAGATCTTTTGGTTTACTCCTTTCCCATTCAAAGCAGTATCGATGCTCCAGGTTCTTCATAAATATGCGTAGAGTGTTGGCTTCTAGGTTGTGATTCGGTTGAACGATTTCATCTCATAAAGTCATATCGATATATGCAGCCACATCGCTTTCGGACTGAGTGCATAGCTCGGAGAAAACTACTGACCGTAAGCTTATATATTACGTAAGCAGTAATAATACAGGTAGGATAACGACATTTCCCTAGATACTAGCCAAAGTAGATGTTGTTATGGTTACTAAAAACACTGTAAAATATAATACAATGATGCTGTAAAAGACCTTTTAACTTGTGGAATAAAGTACAGCCTGAAATTGACACTAACAGATACCTGTTGCTGTTGACTTTTATTTCGCATGACAAAACATCAACTTCCAACCAGGCTATTTTACAATTTCTGTCAAATAAAAACTCAGTTTTGTTAGAATCAGTACCTTGACAACGTGGGAAGAGAACGTTAACACTTCTTCTGAAGTTAATGATGAGCTTTGGTGAGCACAGGTTATGCTCTTGTAGTGGGCTTATCACAAAATAGGTAGTCTAATTCAAAATTTTGATTATCTGGAACAACAAAAAATTCTACAACAAAAGTGTTTACCTTTTAACACCATCCATTCTGTTTTGAAATTCTGTTCTTGCTGCATTCATATTTGTTATCATTGCGCCGACATTACCGACAACAGTTGCAAAAATCAACACTCCAACAAGAAAGTCAATAGTAATGAAGATGTATTCAGCATTTCTAACTGGTTTTGGTGTTTCTCCAATTGTTGTCAATATTAAAGTGGACCAGTAGAAACTATAAACGTACTGAGAAAATAATCGATCCCAACGTTCGGAATAATTTTTAAATTCATCTGATGTATCATCACTTGAACGTGGTGGATAAACAAAAGAGTCTTCTCCAAGGCCTATTTAAAAATAAACGAAATGCGAGAACTTAAAAACAGATGTGAAATGAAAGCTAAAACTTTCTACAATATAACTTTAGAATACTTGTCAGCCTGCTCAAATTTTGGCACACCTAAATTTTCCACCGAATATATAACCTCAAATTACTGCTTTTGAACTAATATTTTTCATTCATAAGTGTCTTCAAGTTCTATTCTATGTTCGTGCTCACTTTAGAAACGGTTTCAACCTACTTTTTTAGAATTTATCGATAAGATTATGACACAGCATCAAAATGGATGTTAATGGACCCTTAAACACCTAATAATGTACCATATAACTATTCCTTAAGTAATCAGTTCGAACTTCAGATTCTCATGAATACAAATATAAAACTTAGGTATTGTGGTAGGATGTATTTTAATGTTAGATTTGTTTGTTTGATAAAGGACTTTGGGAATCACCTCTCAAAGCGAGTTACCAACGAGCACTAGGATAATTCAAATCAGAGACTTGTGGGGATTTGTTTATCGCTTTCAGGTTAGTATTCATCAAGGGCTGTCCCCTGGCGATGTCATGGGTGAGCACTGCTGAGGAGTCCCATACTCAGACGAAAAAGCTGTCTTGTACTCCCAGGTTTCCAATGTCCCTCCAACTGATGTCAATCCATTATAAGTTCCAACCTAAAATATTGGAAACCTTGGGGGATTACACAAATGTTTCGTTCCAGCATGGGACTCCTCTACCCTTCTCCTCCTTAGAACAAAGTAAAGGCAGACTAGACAATAAACAAACAACAACTAGTCACTCCATCTTGTTGCTTATAATATTGCCATAATTAACGCTGTTTAGCTGCTGTAATTATTTAATTTTAAAATGTCGTACGGAGTAGACTTGTTGAAGTATTACATACTGACAACTTCATACTCTATCAAAAGTATTGGCGGTAATGAAGGGTTTATTAGTATCGTTTTATGATAGTGTAAGAATTGTGTTTATCGATGCACCTTTGGACTTGCAATTTTATTCATTGAGACGTGAAATAAGGCTAACATTTTGATGAACATATGTAAGTGGGAATGTTTTTCACACTGGTTAGAGATTCATAACTTGTAAGTGTCCTAATATAATATAGGGAAATTTCTGAAGTGCTAAATTAAAACTGTAGCTCTTGAATTGAGATAAATTTTGCGAAGAAATGTTTCTTCTTCGACAATATTAAAAAAAAATCCTTGCTGAATCATCCCTTCTTTTCCTAATGATTTGATGAAAATCTGTCGTCGTCGACGGTTACTTTTAAATAAGAACTTGCTCTCATTACTGACGGTTATGACCAGATTATTCCTCAGCATTATTCACAGTCAGTTTTGAATATCAATTCTTATGAGGTCGCAGATAAGTTTTGCCTATGAATATAAACCTCAAGATTTGCTACCAGCAGCTTAGAGACAATAGCGTTGAAAAAGGATTGTTGTCTGATACCTTATCAAAACACCTGATGAGTTTTTAAATGAATCCAGAATATAAAAGCAATCAGCAGGACCGATATTATTGATGGATTTCAGCTACCAATGGAATCCAGAAGGCATGTTCCATTCCTATTTAGGACTTGCCAGCTGGATGCGGCTGCATTTTAGTGAATGGGGCCGTTCCTATTAAGACCCAGAACCCCGGAACTGTCACTTCAAATACTAAAACGTTACTCAATTGGCGACTGAATTATGGTAGCTGGTCCTCGTGCAACAGGTGTAGTATAGTTTTGAAGCTACAACTTGCATATCTTCGTCGTTTATTGAACCGAATTGGTCGGCCACTTTTGGCATTTACGCCCCTATGCAATACGGCAATACTGACTGATGGTGACATAAACAGTGGCAATCTCTACTCAGTGGCCTATTAAATAACACTCTAACTTTGAAGCGAATGATCCTGGGTTCGAGTTATAGTTGAAACAATATCACTCACTGGAAGACAGGTACATCCAGCTGGCAAGTTTCAAATAAAATGCAACGTGCGTCCTAGATTCCACTGCTAACCAATAATCATCATAAGTATCAAATCTGAAAATACCGGAAACACTGAGACATCCGTATAGAAGCCTATATGTCAGTAGTAGCCGATCGATTCGGCCCGTTCAGGGACGAAGATTTAAGAGCTATACTATCAATTTACCGTGTCATTATAATCCACTACATATTAGAAATGATAAACTCTTAGAGCAAACCAGACTATTTAAAAAGTATATCTGATCAACTAAAGGGAATACAGATGATTTCACTCACCAGTTGCTCGACTGAATCCAAAATAAATACATGCATTCAAATGAATTAACACCAGGATATAAGTAGTAAGCATTGAGATACGAAATAAATTGGGTCGATTTGTGCGTGTTTCAGTTCTGTCAACAAATTCAAATGATCTGTATATTTTCAGTAGACGATTAAAGCGTAACCATGCAGCATAATGACTTAATTGTGGTATGAAATAGAATAAATCTGTTGGCAAGATTGCAATAATATCAATTATAAATTGTTTGCGTTTTATGTAAGCCTTTTTCAATTTCTCTTTATCACGTACTAGCAGACCTTCTTCTAAATAACCTGTAAATGTCAAAAATATTTATTAAGCGAAAGTGAATAAAGATATAAGAGAAAATTTAAAAGTGAGTCATTAAAGATGACAAGAGTGGTGGGGATCAGGTGTTTTCAGCAACGTTAAACAATATTTGAATGAGATATTGACACCGAAAGTAATCAGATTGCATTGAAAATCATAAGGGTTATAAATGGTTTTGGAAAGTACTCTGCAGACATCATGTGCATTCCAACGCTAAATGACTTGAGTTTTACACCAGAAAAATGATTGATTCCATCCGTCTAGGAAAATTTAAATATAACCGGAAAATATCATAGAAGTCTTCCGCTTTGAGTCATTTTTCACCCAATGAATACAATCATGAAGAGTAAACAAGCTCACTTTGTTAAATCCAACATAAACAGGAGTCTTTAACATGCTGCAATCCTGTGACTCCAATAAATTTGTGTTAAGTCACTTATTGTTTACATCATCGATGCTGCAACTAGAAACCTTGTCGTTGGCACTACAATTTCGTGGCGTGAATATAAGTGTCAGAAAACCGAGCTTTCAACATCGCATAGTCTAATAGTTCGCCAGTTTACTAGCCGGTCGTAAGCCTGTCTATAGAAGTATAGTTGGGCATAGGACTAGCAACCATACCACAGAAAACCAATCCAATCTCTAAAGAAACTTCAAAGCACAGAAAAAATCTAAAAAACAAAAATAAACTTATTCCTCACTGAAATCGGAGAGACGAGATGACGTCGGTTGGTGAAAGTCTGTCTCCAGGGAGTCAATTGGCCCATCTGTCTTCTCTTCTCACGATGAAAGCAAAAATTACCATAAGGACATAGACTGTCCACACAATGTTTGAAGCTGGCTGGCTGGTTGGCTGACTGGCTGGCAAGGCTGACCAGATTGCAAAAGAGATGAGAAGATATGGCATAGAAGTGCTTGGAATCTGCAGATGGAATGGAAGTGGACTCTCAAAACTGTCAACTGGAGAGTCAATAATCTACTCCGATATTGTCATTCACACAACAACCACGAATACACTGAGTTTCGGAGTTGCGGTCATGATGTCTCCTTGAAGAACATCGAAGGCTCTCATGCAGTGTGAGCCAATCTCCTAGTGCAGGATTATTACAGCAAGATTCGAATCGGAAGGAAGGAGAGTTACAAACATACAATGCTACGCTACACACCTACAAACAATGCAGATCAAGAAGAGAAGGAAGAATTCTACACGCAACTGTAATTGGTACTGGACAACACCCCACTCTAGTTGGCGATGGTGACATCAAACTTCTAATGGGTGGGGTGACATGAATGCGGAACAGGCAGCGGGCAATACAGGGAGAGAATTCATCGTAGGAGGAGAGGTGCTTGGTGAAATGAATGAGAATGAAAAACTGTTTGCATGCTTCTGCCCATTCAATGATTTGGTGATTGAAAGCATTGTGTGCATTCATACGGATATTCACAGATCGATCGACATGGATTTCACCAGACACCAGGACGCACTAAGTATCAGATCGACTTCACCTGAATCTGAAGAAAGTGGAGATGGAGACGCAGCCTACTGGACACAAGATCAGATGAAGAAGGGGAGCAGATGTAGGTTCACACCACTCACTATCCCTCTGGTGGAAAGCCTTCAACGAAGTTGATGATGATACATTACAGTTGGAGTTCAACACCCAGAACAGAAGCAGAAGGACGAAACTACAAATGACATCTTCATGTTAGCCAGCCATCCGAAAAAAAGTGGAAGGCATTAAGCAGCATCCGTGAAGAAAATCTGTGTGGAGGAACACTGGAACTCTGTGAAAGCGACGTAGAAGGAAACCTCTGTAGCCGTGTTAGAAAGGGAGAAGAAGAAGCAAGGCGTGGAATGGATCTTCATGGATACATGGAAGCTGATAGAGGTCGGATGGGAAGGTGGTGAAGCAGAAGATGAACCGTTGAAGTGCAGAGATGAATAACGGGGAGGGGAACTGAGTACAATATATAAAACACTGGACAAAGAAGTGAAGGAGAGTGCGTGGAAAGACAGAAGACACTTCTACGACACACTGGCAAGTGAAGCAGAAGGGGGTGCAGGTAGGAGAGATCTGACAACATTACATCAACTAACTATCTGGGAAGAGATCAACACAGATGAAATCAATGAAAGGAAGTGAGGGAACCTAGTTACAACGGAGGGGAGACGAAGGACGGGGAAACGATAAGCTGACCACTTCAGAAAGCTCTTGAATCTACCACCACAGCCACCACCACCTGCAACTCATCCAGAAATACCATCAGCTGCCCAGCCGCAGAACTATCAGTGAACACAAGCCATCCAACAAAAGCCGAAATGCTTGACGCCATGATGTTGCTGGAAGGTGAAAAAGCAGTAGGACCAGAAGGAATTCCTCCAGAAGCACTGGAAACAGACGCAGAGATATCAACGGACATGCTCATACCACTATTTCAAAAGGTTAAGGAGGAAGGAGGGAAAGGTACCTGCCGATTTGAAGAAGAAGGGCTACGTTGTCAAACTCGCAAGGAAGGTCAGGGTGACTGAACACTCTGCATGAACTGGCGCGGAATCATGATTCACCCTTATCCACCCGAAGCAAAATGTCAGGCCGCATCATCCCGAAGAGACTGAAGAATGCTCTGGATTCAAAATAAGACCGGAACAGGCTGTCTGGCTGGCTGGCTGTCTGTCTGGCATGATTCAGGAAGAAGAAATCATGTATGGATCGAATTGCAACACTACGCTACGAATCATTGTGGAACAGAGCACAGAATGGCAGTCAACTCTCTATCTCAACTTCATCGACTTTGAAAAGGCCTTCAACAGCGTCGACCGAGAAGTAGTTTGGCAGGCAGCTGATTCAACACTACGATTCTAACGCCACAAACCTCTATCAGCCTCACTCAACAGCTATATGCTGTATGGTGCTACATGCCAAGCGATTCACGATGGGAAGCTCAGTGATGCCTTTGAAGTGATGACAGGAAGGAGTAAGACATGGTTGCTGTCTGCTGTCACCGATGATCTTCCTGATTGTGGTCGACTGGACTGGACTGGACTGGATAACGCAACGGACTGTGAGGAGTGAGAAGATGGGTATGCGCTGTTTGACCGATGAGAAGACCCTAGAAGATTTGGAATTCACAGATGATTGTTTAAATCTAATGTCTTGTGGCACAGACTCAAAGATCTACAGGCGAAAACCAACAAGTTGGTGGAAGAGGCAGGGGATTGATAACAGGATTTCAGGTGAAAGTATAGAAGACGGAGGTGATGAAGATACTCAATGAGCAAGAAGAAGAAGCACCGACCACCGTGAACGGGAGAAATCTGAAGGAAGTAGTCTTTTTCACCTACTTATCTAGGCAGCATCGTTTCAACTAGAGTCGGCGGCGGTGGTAGAGATGAGGATTTCAAAGCCTGGATCGGAAGAGCAAGATAGGTCTTCCTTCAGTAATCTGAAATCAGTGTGGAGATCAACTACATTCGGCATAATGCGTGAACAAAATCTGGATTTTCAACACTGATTCATTCAAGTGTGGTGGTTGTGAGACTTGGTGCTTTACGAAAAGCATTTCCAACAAGCTGCAGACATGCATCGACAGCGCCCGTCTATGCTCACTCGATACTGAACATCGATCAGATGGTCAGAAATAGTGAGGAAATAGGAACTCTAGCTTGGCAACGAGCCAACCGAGAATCAGTTGTCCAACAAATAAGCAGTAGAAAGTGGAGATGGATTGGGCACGCACTGAGAAGACCGTTTAGAGACATCACGTGCCAGGTTAGTCCAGGCCGTGGAGTAGAAGACAACGGGGAAACGTCAAGTTTTGGGTCCGAGACGAGGGTGACATGGAGGAGATCATGTTAAGAAGGAATGGAAGCTTGTGGGAAGTTGTGGCGCCAGGTTAAAAAGACTACTGCGAACAGGATGAAATGGAGACGTGCTACTGAATCGCTATGTTACACTATGAACCCAAAGGACAAATAATAATAATAGTAATAACAATATTAAAAGTTAGATTTCTTGTGCAGTCTCAATATCCAGTCGGTCAGACAACTGACATTATTGCAATCTCAAAAAGATAACTTCGAAGTTACACATCAACAATCCTTCATTGCTTTCATCAAAACCACAACAACGTTGCGTTATCTATTAAGGAAGAAACAAAGAGGATAGCTAAAACAAGTGAAAGGCAACAAGGATTTAGCAATGGCTTGTCAAGATAAGAATTCAGGTGTGGTTCTGATGGACAGAAAGGTAAATGCTAAAGAAGATAGTGACCTTGGTTTCAGATTGGAACAAATTCATTAAGCCTGTCAATGAGGAAACAGCCAGATTATCAAAACACTTAGTGAACATGTGTCCGTCATGCGAATCCAGCAGCATGGAAGGTAGTTTTGTAGAACATTTGTTAGTAGGCTATTAATGAAATGAAGTCACCGTTGAATGAATCTTGACAAGTATGACCCATGTTTGACAAGTATTATGAGTGTTTATGATTCGTTTACTTCCAAATTTTTTCTATTGATGCGGACTGTTCAATGTGGTTCATCAGTAAAACAGCTAAGCCAATCATTTTAGATTCATAAAAGGGATTGTGTTAGAGTGAGGTTTTATAATGACAAAGTAGACTGATTGGAAAGCGGAAACTGATTGTCAAGTGTACTCATATGAAACTCCACACCACCGTGTTGCTAACCATAGTGAAGGGATATGCGATAGCTTCGAGAGTTAAGTTGTTCATTTGCTTAGAATTTTTATTTTTTCATCAGTAATTTAGACAAAAATAGAACTGAGCATTTGTAGTAACTAATTCTGGGTTTATATGAACTTAAGCCTACTTCAAAATTTAATGGTACTTTTAATTTCTTGTTGTTATACTGGATCGGACTGATAGACTGCTGTTGGCATATAATCGCGTTTGCAGATTCCTTGATACTGGTTAAATATTCATTGTGTGACGATTTGTCTGAGAATGGCTATTAGTGCAATCTGGAACACAGACAAACCTAGTTGACTAGTATTTGATCCACTATCATCTCATTAGATTATTCCAATCCCCTTACGTGACGCAGTGCAGAAAAGTCATTCTTTTCACCTAGAAAAGATTCCTGCTCTATACGTTATAAGATTGCCCTTTAAAATCAATTATGAATAGCCATTTGGAATTAACTTGGTTGTAAAAAATGAACAATTGTACTTTATTTCTTGACAAAGTTATTCCTTTATTGATCATACTTATAGATCAAGTTAATCAAATCATTGAAATGTTGATACTTCGTATTCAATGTGTACGACGTAAATGAGTTTGTTTATGAAATTCAAAGTGAAAAAAAATTAGTTGATTCAAGTTTTAAAACATATGCCAATTAAAATTAAGGTTAGATAGTAGGTTAAAACTGTCTAGGATTGAATGCTTCTTTTCTTTCCTTGTAAATAAGTACAGGTCGCTTGAATAAAGAAACAGGTTATCTGTACTTTTCATCTTAAGTCCTTAAGCTATTGTTTAAAATACGGAGTAATTTTTATGCATTTTAGCATAACCTGTGTAAAATTCAAGCCTGGAAATAAATCTCTGAAGTTTTGGGAAAGGACAGTATTCCGAAAAAAATTGGAACGATTTAAGAGCATTAATTCAACGATACTTAGTGACATTTTGACTTAATCTTGTTCTCTCTCTCTCTTCCATAGAAGTTCTAGATGACTGCTGAAGACGATATGAGTTTGAGGTGATCGGAATCACGATTATACTAGTACTTTATGCTGGTATTGTAGCCTTTTTCCTACTGTTACCCAAAGTTGTCAAGTATTATATTTTTATGCTTTTGTTACCTCCATTGTTCAGTCCTATACAGTTCTAGTTACGACATGGTTTTCGCTTTAGTTACAGAATTAAATTCAAAGAAAAAAATTATGCTTATAGAAAACGATCAGTCTACAAATTAAACGTTGGTTAGTATCCACTATTATTTATCAGTTCTACTCAATGGTTAAAATCTATTGATAAAGGCATATCTCACAACCGCTAGGCTTAGAGGTCACTCGTTTACAAACACGGTGACGGCAGTTTTGACGTAACAGGAGAATCTGAGGGATTTCTTATGCTTCTATCTAGCATGTGAGAACATCCTTTGTGCAGGTGAAAGGGTTTGAATAAACTACGCTGCAGCCTCTTCAGAAACTTGACTATCTTCATCACTTTTAACCTGGCATTTTCAACAAGCACCAATGTAAGGATATGTCAGTTAAATGCATCGTTTCGTCAAAGATCCGCTAAATTACTAACTCAGATTGTACCATCTGTTGAAAACTGTTCTCATACAAACAAGCGAACTGACTGTGAGTATAAAGTTAATCTTATGTGTACAGATCCATATTATTCCAGACCGTTTCGCTGTTTAGTGGAACAATATACTCCAACTGCATAGACTGCTTTTACGTTTTACATGCTTCTGTAGTGTTGGCTTGCAGATTGAAGATATAAATGGCTAACGTTTTGCTCTAGACGATTGTTATGGGATAACTAAATTAATCAACTTTGAGAAACACTTTAGTCTTTAGTATCCAATAGTGTATTCAACAAACAAACGCTATTGTGTCCCAGTGGCCTAACGGATAATAACACTTCGGGGTTTGAAGTAGTGGGTACTGGGTTCGAGTTTCAGTGGGAAGAGCGTCACTCATTGGAGTGCAAGTACATCCAGCTGGCGAGCCTAAAATAGGAGTTATGGATTCCATTAATAGTCACCGAGATGAATGTGATATTGTGAATATCCAGCAGTATTGGGACATCCGCATAGGAACCCGTCTGTTAACAGAGGGTGAGCACTTCGGGACTGTATAGTAACGGAGGATTACAAGTATCAAAATACCAGACAAAAGCAAACTTTACATCCGTTCTGTAATCATACTAGCCTTTATTTTGGCAGAGCTTCAATTTTAAACTTATCCATATACATATATGTTTTACAATTTTTGGTGGTTTCATTGGAACGTCTCTGATTGTGAATGCAAAATTAAGTTATAAATGGTGCCAATTAAGTCTCTTGAAGCATTCTTAAACTCTTTATCCTCACTTATCATCTTGACATTCAGAGGTTAGCATCTAAAAATGCACCAGGCCAATGAAATATCTTTAAAGAGACAATGACCATTGATGGCAGCTATCTTCAAGTTGTGGATTTCCGCTTGTAGACTTTTATCCATCAAAACTTTCATAGTCTGGTAAGAATGGGATGGATCATACGGTCATTTTTATAAATTATTTGATACGAGCCACATTCATCGTGTTAGCTGCTCAGTTTTAGTTGAATAGACGGCGGTAAATCCTACTTTATACTCGTCGGTACTTTCAGCAAAGCTTATCAACAACTGCAGGGAAACTATTGCTGCCTTCAGGATTTAAAGATAACATTAATGATGTACATATTTGGAAATCAATCGATTTGATCCAAACCACTCAGTGTTGAGACAAAATATATCGCCAAATTGTATCTCAGCTGAGCGGTTACATTGTGAATTCGTCTTATCAGCTTGATTCGGTATTAAAGACTAAAGATGTACACCGATCACCGTCTTGAGATTAGTATAATACCTGATCTGATTTTCTCAGAAGAACTCACCTGTGCGCAAGCCAACAAATATATCAATTAGGTAGACGAAATCAATGCAATAATCCAATGAAAGCCATACGATTGGACTTAATTCATGAAACTGGGTAAATGCTGATCTCATCGGTAAGACGATAGCATTATAGAGTACTGTGATTGTAACGATGCCAATCCAATGATAATATCCTCCTTCAGATGAATCAACAACCAATTCTTTCAAGTGACTGTAGGATGAAAAAACAGGAACAGCATCAAGGAGAAGTTTCATGTGAGGACTTATAAATAGGGGAAATATAAAACTGGAATTTTTTGGAGAGTGTCAGTTGCCCCATGCGAGTAGTTGACCTTAACAGATGTCAAAAGATTGCAGTTTAGTATTCATCACGAACCGACATCAGTTGGATGACCATTAAAAACTGGGGAGTAATGAACACCTGTTCTGTCTTGGTGTAGGATTCCTTAGAAGTACGCACTCATGACCCCTCAGAACCTTCGGGTTCCACTGCGAGCATGTTAACATAGAGCCACTGGGTTGGTATTCAGTAGTATATGTTTCTTACTTCTCTCGCTTCATGATGAAATAAGACCTCCATCCAATCCAGTCGTTGAGTAACTGTCTTCATGTCTGATTTGGTCTGTAGAAACAGTTTATCAAAGAGATATCAGTAAAACGAAAACTTATCCATTAATTTATTGATGTATTTCATCTTAAGCAAGCCAATGTAACTAAATCTGCATTCAGGCTGCATAGACAAGCTGTCTGTTTTGTTGAATTTCACGTATACGGTCGGTCGGTGACGGACTTATGTAAGTGGTACTAACCTAACTTTTGCTATTAGACTATAGCACATGGAATGAAAAATTGTTAATAAGTTTATCGGATAGGCGAACTGTTTTTCGAAGCTTTAACAAAATTATAACAAAACTTTAAAGTATTGAAAGCAATCAACAAATATAAAACAGTATTGATTTGAAGCAAAGACAGGAGTTTTCGGTTAGGCGATGGATGTGCTATAAAATAACTGTTCACCAAATATAACTGCTGTTACAGACATCAAAGGAAAGAAGGATGTTCGTTGTACCACACACATTCACAAAACAGCAGTCTACCCACTTCCACTCAAGACTTATAGCAAGTCAAATAAGGATATGATATAACTTATTGGTAAAAATTGAAGACTATTTTCAAGGATTATGAAAACTTCATGTACACTGATCCTGAAAAAGGATAAAAAGTGCACTCAGCGATCATGTGCACATTCATGCAGTAGGTAATGAGCCACACCTATTTTGTAAGCACTAGTGATATTTTCTGGTAGCCAAAATATCAGTAGGGTTTCCAACCCGTGACCAACTGACTGAAAGCAGAGTACATAAATCAGTTAGCTACTTCTTCACAAATTAAATCTTGTTTGGTAGCAACTAAATATTTTACATGTGTAGCTGTGTCAAAAATGCCAGATGACTAGTTTGAATTTCTTATCATACTTAAAAAGTACGGTTTGATTAGACAGTTTTTCAGAAGTATCTGCACATATACTTTTTACCTACTAGTTTTCGTCTACAGCCTTTTGACTTTGGTGAAGATTTAACTTCCTCGAGCTGCGGTTAGTAATAGTGAATAAAATCTCTCAATAAGCATTGTTTCTTTGGAGGTTTAAAAAGCGCTTTGATAACAAGTATCAAAAGATGACAAAAGTCTGATGCATACACTCTTGACAGCCGACTTTACCCCATTACATATTATGGTAACTGAATATTGGTATCAGATCACTAAGCTCATTGTCAAGACAGAGAATTCTATTGAATAAGCTTTGTTAGTGTTCAGGACTCATGGAATGATGTTTGTAAATGTCTGTTATTAAAGACTGGTTCGCCAATTCACAAAATACAAACTTCTACATATGGTTTGTGACTTTTGAAAAATGATCTCTACATAAATCAGAATGCTTTTCTAGAATCTTGTACCATTGCAGTATCGAATGAAAAGAACTCAAGCAAATGCACATGTGGACCTAAGCCCTATGCTTAATTGTTCACCTTAAACGTATTAAATTAACACTTTATAGTTTAATGACGTGTGAATAATTTTGAGAGACTAGACTCTAAGTGTTATCTCCTGAATAAATCGTTGGATGTTTGCATAGGTATTACACCTTGTGAAATCACTTCTTACATGAGAGTTTTTCGAACTAACGAAACATACTACTAAGTAACTTGATTAGTTAGAAACTTCTGAGATTGACTTATAGACTTTCAAATAACTTCCGAATCGGCCTATTCAAGGTATACTGGTTCTTATGAGTCGAATAGCCAGATTGGGTGGTCTGAGCGATGCGCGTGTGTCAGGTGCATTCGTTTTGCCACACCACTGAAGAGTTTGGATCCAAACGAGTGAAATGGCCGTCACTGTGATGTGCCTCATGAAAGTGATGGACCCGACTGCGTGGTTTCTAACTACTCAAGTTGTTCAGAAAGAATTAGTCTTGATGAATTATTAAAGTGAGAGTGTAGTTTATCATTTATCATACTATAATGTCCGGTATCGATTTGTATGAGACTCCGGGCATTAAGTAAAGTGGATTTAGTCCAACAACTTTTTTCACTTGGTCACAAATAACACGTTAAGTTAACCGCAGATATGGCGCATTAATTCTGATTGTTGGCTAGGATACCTACGCAGTAAAATTCATTGTTTATGTTCCGAACTAACTAGCTAATATATCTACAAAAATGCTAAGGAGTTTAGTTAACTATTATGCATCAAAATAGGTACCTAGAGTGCTACATATAAACTTGGCTTGTAAAATAATAAGTAGTGTTTTTGAAGCCTAAATTCGATGTTTATTGTAATCTCAATGTAACTGGATCTCAGGTTTTATGTAATTTTTAATTACGAGTCAAACAGAAAATTACGTACTTAAAGCTTATTAACAGATACCGTATTTTGTCGTATAAGGAATATTTTAGTTGTGTAATCCTGCGTAGTATATTAGGACAGATAACGAAATAAACAGACACTTTGTATAATTCCCCAGCTTTTTGATCTTGCTAGAGAGATCCTTTTCAAGGGTATGAATGTTGTGTCCTTCTATTTATAGCAAACGCCATATCACTCATTGTCAAAAAAGAACTACTTATAAGGACTGCAATGATGAAGTGGCCACTCAGTAAAGTAAAAACGTTTCATAGGTATGCGCAAGGCCAAGAATTCAGTTAGACTCCACAGAATAATTTGAAGCTACGTCACTGGTTGGATTTGGTGGCGATTTATCTGTTTAAGAAAAACTACATTATGGTTTATTGATACTTATAGTTCCCGTGTGGAATGCTGGGTCGAAATAACAAACATCCGTTGATAGGTGGTTTTCTATATGGATGCTTCGATACTTGGTGGATATTCATTCTGTTATAATTCACTTAGGAGCTAGCACTGAAATCTGGGACGCACGTTTCGTCCAACTTGGGACTCATTAGCTGGGTATACATGGATCCAAGTGAGTGATGTTGTTCCAACGAGGACTCTAACGAGAACCGATACCCATCGCATCAAATGTCAAGGCGTTGGGGGTGCATGCAGCTCCAAATCAAACGAAGTGTTAGTTCTTGTTTCTACTGCTGGTCACCGAATAAATTACGAGAAACTTCATTCATGAATAATTTACAAAAAGTATATATATACACAGATTTCGGACATGGCTTCTAAACTATTTATACTAACCTTTGCTACTTTGATAAGTTTAAAACTACGCTGGGATTCAGGCGGGTTCTAAGTATTAAATTTTCGTTACTAACTATTCTTATCCTTCACAAATGGTAAAGATACCTATGAATCCGCGAAAAACTAGCAAAAGGAACGTATTTATCCGATACAACTTATACTGAAATAATTCAGTGGATTTCTGTGTCTAATTTACAAGTAAATTTTTAATTTCTCTCCTTTTAGAAGTAGTATTCGTTAGGCTTGCCTAGTTCACATGTTCACTAGTGTACTTATCTGTCCTAAGCCAAGATAAAGAAGGGAAGTTGAGTATAGGACTAGCAACCATACCACAGAAAACCAATCCAATCTCTAAAGAAACTTCAAAGCACAGAAAAAATCTAAAAAACAAAAATAAACTTATTCCTCACTGAAATCGGAGAGACGAGATGACGTCGGTTGGTGAAAGTCTGTCTCCAGGGAGTCAATTGGCCCATCTGTCTTCTCTTCTCACGATGAAAGCAAAAATTACCATAAGGACATAGACTGTCCACACAATGTTTGAAGCTGGCTGGCTGGTTGGCTGACTGGCTGGCAAGGCTGACCAGATTGCAAAAGAGATGAGAAGATATGGCATAGAAGTGCTTGGAATCTGCAGATGGAATGGAAGTGGACTCTCAAAACTGTCAACTGGAGAGTCAATAATCTACTCCGATATTGTCATTCACACAACAACCACGAATACACTGAGTTTCGGAGTTGCGGTCATGATGTCTCCTTGAAGAACATCGAAGGCTCTCATGCAGTGTGAGCCAATCTCCTAGTGCAGGATTATTACAGCAAGATTCGAATCGGAAGGAAGGAGAGTTACAAACATACAATGCTACGCTACACACCTACAAACAATGCAGATCAAGAAGAGAAGGAAGAATTCTACACGCAACTGTAATTGGTACTGGACAACACCCCACTCTAGTTGGCGATGGTGACATCAAACTTCTAATGGGTGGGGTGACATGAATGCGGAACAGGCAGCGGGCAATACAGGGAGAGAATTCATCGTAGGAGGAGAGGTGCTTGGTGAAATGAATGAGAATGAAAAACTGTTTGCATGCTTCTGCCCATTCAATGATTTGGTGATTGAAAGCATTGTGTGCATTCATACGGATATTCACAGATCGATCGACATGGATTTCACCAGACACCAGGACGCACTAAGTATCAGATCGACTTCACCTGAATCTGAAGAAAGTGGAGATGGAGACGCAGCCTACTGGACACAAGATCAGATGAAGAAGGGGAGCAGATGTAGGTTCACACCACTCACTATCCCTCTGGTGGAAAGCCTTCAACGAAGTTGATGATGATACATTACAGTTGGAGTTCAACACCCAGAACAGAAGCAGAAGGACGAAACTACAAATGACATCTTCATGTTAGCCAGCCATCCGAAAAAAAGTGGAAGGCATTAAGCAGCATCCGTGAAGAAAATCTGTGTGGAGGAACACTGGAACTCTGTGAAAGCGACGTAGAAGGAAACCTCTGTAGCCGTGTTAGAAAGGGAGAAGAAGAAGCAAGGCGTGGAATGGATCTTCATGGATACATGGAAGCTGATAGAGGTCGGATGGGAAGGTGGTGAAGCAGAAGATGAACCGTTGAAGTGCAGAGATGAATAACGGGGAGGGGAACTGAGTACAATATATAAAACACTGGACAAAGAAGTGAAGGAGAGTGCGTGGAAAGACAGAAGACACTTCTACGACACACTGGCAAGTGAAGCAGAAGGGGGTGCAGGTAGGAGAGATCTGACAACATTACATCAACTAACTATCTGGGAAGAGATCAACACAGATGAAATCAATGAAAGGAAGTGAGGGAACCTAGTTACAACGGAGGGGAGACGAAGGACGGGGAAACGATAAGCTGACCACTTCAGAAAGCTCTTGAATCTACCACCACAGCCACCACCACCTGCAACTCATCCAGAAATACCATCAGCTGCCCAGCCGCAGAACTATCAGTGAACACAAGCCATCCAACAAAAGCCGAAATGCTTGACGCCATGATGTTGCTGGAAGGTGAAAAAGCAGTAGGACCAGAAGGAATTCCTCCAGAAGCACTGGAAACAGACGCAGAGATATCAACGGACATGCTCATACCACTATTTCAAAAGGTTAAGGAGGAAGGAGGGAAAGGTACCTGCCGATTTGAAGAAGAAGGGCTACGTTGTCAAACTCGCAAGGAAGGTCAGGGTGACTGAACACTCTGCATGAACTGGCGCGGAATCATGATTCACCCTTATCCACCCGAAGCAAAATGTCAGGCCGCATCATCCCGAAGAGACTGAAGAATGCTCTGGATTCAAAATAAGACCGGAACAGGCTGTCTGGCTGGCTGTCTGTCTGGCATGATTCAGGAAGAAGAAATCATGTATGGATCGAATTGCAACACTACGCTACGAATCATTGTGGAACAGAGCACAGAATGGCAGTCAACTCTCTATCTCAACTTCATCGACTTTGAAAAGGCCTTCAACAGCGTCGACCGAGAAGTAGTTTGGCAGGCAGCTGATTCAACACTACGATTCTAACGCCACAAACCTCTATCAACCTCACTCAACAGCTATGTGCTGTTTGATGCTACATGCCAAGCGATTCACGATGGGAAGCTCAGTGATGCCTTTGAAGTGATGACAGGAAGGAGTAAGACATGGTTGCTGTCTGCTGTCACCAATGATCTTCCTGATTGTGGTCGACTGGACTGGACTGGACTGGATAACGCAACGGACTGTGAGGAGTGAGAAGATGGGTATGCGCTGTTTGACCGATGAGAAGACCCTAGAAGATTTGGAATTCACAGATGATTGTTTAAATCTAATGTCTTGTGGCACAGACTCAAAGATCTACAGGCGAAAACCAACAAGTTGGTGGAAGAGGCAGGGGATTGATAACAGGATTTCAGGTGAAAGTATAGAAGACGGAGGTGATGAAGATACTCAATGAGCAAGAAGAAGAAGCACCGACCACCGTGAACGGGAGAAATCTGAAGGAAGTAGTCTTTTTCACCTACTTATCTAGGCAGCATCGTTTCAACTAGAGTCGGCGGCGGTGGTAGAGATGAGGATTTCAAAGCCTGGATCGGAAGAGCAAGATAGGTCTTCCTTCAGTAATCTGAAATCAGTGTGGAGATCAACTACATTCGGCATAATGCGTGAACAAAATCTGGATTTTCAACACTGATTCATTCAAGTGTGGTGGTTGTGAGACTTGGTGCTTTACGAAAAGCATTTCCAACAAGCTGCAGACATGCATCGACAGCGCCCGTCTATGCTCACTCGATACTGATCATCGTCTAGATGGCTAGAGATAGTGAGCAACAAGTGAATTTATCTTAAGAATGATAACCACTCACCAGAAAATCTCATGTGTAACAATGATTGTCATTTTCACTTTCCGAATATCTATTTGTTTAACAATCAGTTTATTTGAACGATACCTAAGATGCAAATGAACTGACTAACTATGAGTATAATTGCTTGTATTATACACTATTTGATTAAATTGAATTTATCAGTCCCTGTTGACATATGGGCTCCTGTTAGGATGCGTCTATATTACTTGTGTTTTAATTATAGTATTGATGGCTAGTGGCTAGTATTGGAATCCGGGATAGGCATTTCGTCCTGTTTGGAACTCGTCAGTTGAACGCACCTGCCTCGCAATGAGTAATGCTGTTCCCACTGGAATTCGGACTCGGAACCGATCGCTTTAAACTCCAGAGTGTGATCCACTACATCACTGGGCCAAGAAATTGACGGGATGTGTATCCTGGATTCCACTGCTATCCACTATCCATCATTACTATAAGTAGCTTTTGTTCTCACTGTGTTAAAAATGACATCCATAATTTTACCCTTTAGACTATTGTTGTTGAGCGTCGAGGTGATTAGCGAATACGTCAGATTGCATATTTACAGGTAATCTGTGGATGATTATGATAGCAAGCAAATTTACGTGTTCTACGATGAGTACGGCAGTGCAGTAATTAGTGTATAACAAATTCCCAAACCATTTGTGTGCCAAGTGAGCGAATACTTCTGACTACGTCTCCATGGGGAATTCTGGTTGCAAGACAGATGCCAGTAAATTAGTACGCTAAAATAAACTTTGTCTTTGGATCTAAGAAGCCTATGTCTTCGAAAATTTTCAAATGATGGAAAGATAACATTTACTCTGCTTGGCTACAAACTGAGTCGACAGCATTCCTGTGTGTGTACAATTAGTTATAACTGGTTCAAAAAGCCCTGTCGTATTAAGCTACAAAGTTAAGCGTGTTAAACTAAAGAAATAAGTTATTATTGGGAAACAAGTTCATAAAGTTGGTATTTCTTTCAGGGAAAGTCACTAGTTCTAAATTCTGATCTCAGATGTAAAAAGTAACCAGTTGTCATTATTCTTGACACCTAAAAAACACTAAAAGATGGAGAAAAAGCAGACGAAAAAGTATTTGATACTTACTTTGGTAAATTTTTAATCTTTCTAATCTTTTCAATAATTGAGAACTTTTTCTTCGATGCACTTTCCTCTTCTTTCTTCGCCACATCATCTTTATGATTACCACTTTCAGTATCTTTATTTGTGACAAGATTTTCGACAGCTGGATCCGTTCGATTCTCCCTCTTATAGTTTGTTTTAAAACACTACATGAAATTAAGAAGCGATAGTTTCAAATCAGAAAGTAAATTTGAACAACTTTAGTAGATGTGATGCCTATCTACCTGTTTAATTATTTTTTAAAATAAAATTCTGATCAATTTGTTTAGATGTATTGAACGATTGTAGCACCTTTATGACCCAGATCACTGGCTTAGATAAATATATGTCTGGAAGAGGACTGAAGTAACCATTCAAAGCAAAAGAACATTTATATAAACTTCTAACTGAATTATATACGTATCAGTAAGCTAATAATGTGATACTATCTAGGAAAAAGCAAAACAGAAGGATTATACCAAAAGCAAATTTCATGATCGCTGCTTCACCCAGAAATATTTTAGTTATCTATGAATTACTCGGCTTTGTTGCTTGGTGTATAAGACTGAAGCAATATCCAATCCGCACACAAGTTTTGTGCATCAAAATCACTTCGAAATAGTCATGGTTTGATACAGCTACATTATTACTGGGGGATGACTGAAGGTGAAGTGAAAATGTGCGTCATGGCAGGATTCAAATCATTGACCTTCTTGTTACAGGCTTGGTGATCTACCAACTACTGTCATCATCCAGTGTAAGTACTTCTCTAGGACTTTTATACTTGATACAGTTTTAACTGATGCCGGTAATCACGAAAGAGTTTTCAGATTCATTTATTTGTTTGTGCATTCATTTGTCGATAAAATGCTCTTTCATGATAACGTCGTAAAAAGCAAAAAATTCATTACCTTAATTTTATGTAAATCTAGTGCTAACTGGAAACACATGAAATCATATGGTTTCTGTTATCGTTGCCCATCTTCATTCCAACCTTTAGAATATTTTTGTATATAGCTTTGGAGCGTGGCTAGACATACTCTACACTTTTCTTTAAACTTCAAATTGAAGGGTTCATAAGTGTGGATTTCCTGTTATGCCTTCTAACTGAGTTAATAAACCTTCTCCTATTCTTTAGCTGCTGGTACATACTGGTGACCAGTTTGTGAACTTGATCCAGTCCTACAGTTAGTTACCCAACTTTTAAGAACGCGAAATCTAGGTCCAGGGATTTCTGCCAACCGACCCTTGACATAGGAAAGCGAAATAAAGTGAACTTGGAAGTTGCATTCATGGTATCATATGAATTTATCACTGAAACTGGTTGGAAAGTGACTGCAGTCAATTCAAAATTGTGAGCTTTGACAATTAGAGTACATGTTATCAATCATATTCGATGATGGTGGTGTCAAAATGTGAAATAACCGAGGATGAAGAATTTGAGCAATTGAAATAAAGTCCAATGGTTGTGGGTTAACTTTTCTTTTGGAAACTAAAAAGTTTGCAGCGGCATGCTGTTTTAGTGCGACTTGAGCGTTGATGAAATTTTTGAAAATGAAACAGAATAGCTATTACAACTGTATGACCCGCTGCTAATGAATTACTAGCCATACTCTAAAGAAAGAAAGCCTTTCACACCAATATGGTATCCACATCGCTTTTAAGGTATGCGATAATTTTCTCAAATAATGAAGAGTTAAGATTCATTACTCAACATAAACTCAAGTAGTATAGTTGGGTTACTGACGGTTTGAACCAAATTCTTAGGTTTACTAAAGCAATCACTGTGAAACACTGATTCAGGGAAGTAATAATCCTATACATGTAGTCTGTAACGGTGAAAAACAAGGTCACAATATTTATCCAAACATATGAAGTCGGCTTCAGTATGCAGAAACTTAAGTGATGATCAGTAGGTATCATCGCTATGCTGCTGCATGCATATTCAATTTGCAGATTTCCTATTAATTATTCTTTATAATTTCAGATGCTTATACTGAGTGAAGACTGAATGTGAAATGTTTGTTAAATTGGTTTTTTTAAACAGTGCTACTACTCTGGCGACAGCGAGTAGCCTGAAACTGAAACAAGTGTTAACTGAATTTGTAACTTAGAAAAGAACTCAATCGTAAAACCAACATTTTTAACCCTATGCATTTGTACTTTTCACCAGTGAAAAATTCGGATTCAAGTAAGCTGTAAAAATATTTTCAAAAGTAGATTTAGTATATTTAACAAAAGGCAGTGAAATGAAGTCTTCGCTTAATCTTAGATGAAACAAGAATCTCTGTGCTGTATTATGTGGAAGTGCCTATTTTACCGTGATGTAGCTTGTCATCATGGTTCAATAAATTTTTCAAAATAATACTTTCAAAATATTTAAGCTTATCCCAGAAAGCGGATCTCAGAAATCTTCTTTGTAGTACGTCGTCACAATCTGTATAATGGTCAGTGCATGAACTGATAGATCGTGTCTAATGGAGTATTATTGAATCCTATAAGAATGGTAATAGCATTACAACTATTGCACATCGGACTGTATGATACCTGTAAACAGTAGACTAAATCAAATATCAGACGCTAAGTTTTGTCACTTACTATTGTTAAATGAAGATTAGTATTGAAGGTCTAGTCATGATGAGAAGACCTAGAAAAAACATGATTTTGCCAGAAGTATACAAAATTAAAAGCAATGAAGAATCATATTTCTTATCACTAATTATCCATTCAGCTTCCCTATAACTGGCAATTGTCTATACTTTGTTTTAGTTAATACTTTGGTTGTGGTCTGGTTCCTAAAGACAGAGGCAAGAGTGTTGATGCCTCAGCGTTTAGTTAGCTTCAAAAGGAACTATGGCAACTACTGATGTAGTATGTACCAGTTTATAGTGGTGGCTGCTAGTCTGATTGCTCTTGATTTACGACAAAATAGATAAATGTTTATATCGTGAATTTCACTAATTAGTCTGACCAGTAATGATACGGGACTCTACCTCTCTTTATTGTAGCTAATTTCTGTGAAAGTCGTAGTTAAAATTTATAGGATCTACAGATAAATGGAATCCAGATGACTTAGAATGTAAAAATAAAGTCGAGTAAATAAGATTTGAAACTATTCTTCCCTTTTACAAACTTGGGTAGTGTGACTACACAAATAAACTTCACCCTCTAACCACATTATCCATTGTTGTTAGTTTGAACCAACTTGCTCCACTTCTGTTCTAAAAGTGACTCATTTGTCCATACTAAGTATTAGTTGAGGATTTCATTTTGATATGGAGAAAGAATAGTAATTAGCAGTGAAATCCAGGAGGCGCATTTCGTGTTTAATTTGATCAGTGTTCGTCAAATGGATACCTCATTCATAACACCGACACACTGGGAATTAGATGTATCCAGGAGACGAATACCGAAAAAAAGGAAATACCGATCCTGTGTCTAACTCCTTACACTTATCGATACTAAAATTCTGGTTTAAATCAGGTGACTGCTTGGTGTAGTTTATCATCTGATTCTCTGGATACAAAGACTAGGATTATTAACTCGAATTCCCACAGCTTCTCCTATTTGTAAAATATGAGTTTGAATGCCTTTTTAAGGATGAAATGGTATGCAGTGAATAATAGTGAAAGCAATGTTCTTATCTACCGAGTGACCACTATCAATGAGATGAGATAAAACTGAGCTTCTTATGAATTTTATCTGTCCCTTTCCCAACTAGATGTTCAGTAGCACGTTTGTTAAGTTGTCTTGTAGCTTTCTACACAGGAGCAGCTAAACTTGTAAATACACATAGGAATGGCAAAACTAGGTACATTATCTTTTATCTGAGCAACAACAGTTGGTCGATTGGAATATGATAAACAGTGTTGTGTGGCGCAGAAAGTCATCTTAATGGTTCTAGAGAGTCTCTGATATAAAACCTCTCCGGCCACATCCCCGTTAAATTGCGATCTCATGAACAATGGTTTCTTTTGTATGGTAATAATTCCAGGTTTGTTCCCCCTGACTTTGTCCATGTGTCTTTTTATGAAACTGTTAGGGTAGCCCATTTCAATCAATGAATTACGCATATAATCTAACTCCTTCTGTACTAGGTCATCCGAGCATATTTTTCGCGCTCTTTTAGTGAGGCGTTTAACCAGGTTTGCTGTGTACCAAATTGGTACATGATTAAGAATATGTGTATACTGACTTATAGATGTGGTCTTCTTGTAAACACATCTGCTGCGTGGATTATCTTTTCTTCTGCTTAATAAGACAGTGTGGTTTACTGACATTTTCTTTCTCACAAGTGAAAGTGAGTGAATGGTGCACCTCATTAGATTTTCTCAATACCGCGTTTGTATCCACATTCTGATCCAGGATGATGAATTCGTCGTCAATATAACGGTGAATCATAGTCATCTCCTTAATGACCTGCTTCAATGTTCCATTCTCCAGTTTGGCAAGAAATATATCAGCTAAAATAGGATAGAGTAGTGAACCCATAGCTATTCCGTCAATCTGTCTATAATGAGAGCTATTGACGACAAAATGTGCATTCACAGTACATTTAAAAAGCAGTTCCTTTAGGACGGGTACAGGAATCCCGATGTTGATTTGCCTTTCCGATGTTTGTTGACAGACTAACTCTATCGTCTGCAGTAATGGCACATCAGTGAATAATGATGAGATATCAAGTGACATCATATGTTTTCCGTTCACATCCATACTGTCTATCTTAAAAATACATTCAAAGACGTCTTTTACACTGTGGTCAGTTAATTCTTTGTTTAAAGAATCTATATTCCTTACTAGCCATTTAGCAGCTGCATGATATTTGGAGTTGGACAAGTCTAAAGCTGGAAAAAGAGGCAGTTCAGGTTTGTGTACTTAAGGCAGACCATACAACATTGGTGCTTTCTTGGTTCTTATTATCATTATCATCTATATTCCACGTAGTTTAGTCAACGTTATCACTTTTATCAATATCATTATTTGTATTATTATCACCATAGTTATTTTAAAGCATTTATCACATCAACTGACAAATCTACATAATTGGTTTAATTTTATATATGCGTATTAAGCTATTTGTATTAGAGTAAAGCCTGAATAGTATCTAATTGAAAACAATGTTGTTCGCTTATATGTCTTGTTTCTAATTCTAAATATCTGTATAGTTTGGTGGAGATTAAGATTTGAACTCTTACTGAATTTAACGATCATTGAAGTGTAAGATAATAACAGCGGGAAATTCAAGTTTTGCACATTTTGTTGCCTGTAGTAGTAGTGTCTCCTGAGATTATTTAAAACCGCAGGTAGCTAATCAGTAAACGATGTATTTAAAACTTGCAGTTTACGTTGTTCTCCACACCTGAGATCTAAATATCCCAAAGTATGGTGTTGATTAGGTTTTCATCAGAAACCGATCAGTGAAAGCAATAAAGTGTGATATCTGACACTACAGTTTGGTGAACTATTAAAACATGCAGACACTGAATAAAATGAGTAGATTCTCCTGACCAAATCAAGGTAGTGTGAACAATGGATGTAAGTTTTTCTCTTTCGAGGACTTGGTAAAACTACTACCAAGCAATATTTATTGAAGTTTTTATCAGGACTTTGATTTACAAATGATATATGGATACTGTGTGTAATATGCAATTAATGTATATCACGGCCTATCAAATAAATATAAGCAGTATAAAAACATGAAGGAACTTACAGAAAGCAAACGTTTGACGATATAGAATCTCGATCTTGATTTCAAATCTATTAAGTCTATATCTGGAGTTTCTGCAGTTTCAGCCATGAAGACTGAAGACTCATCAGACTTCCAATTAACTTCTTGTTCGGTCTGTAAGTAGTTGATATGATTAGCTTAAGTTTCGTTTATTTAAGTATCCACATAAATCATTCACCTAGTTATTTTTTTTAATCGAAGAAACGTATGTAAAGTCCACTTACTCTATTAGTAATATACAAATAAACGGAAGCTTTTATACTTGGTTTCGAAAAAAAAGGAAAATAACCATTCCCCTTATATATCCTTGTATTCATCCCGTTGTTATAGTAATATATATATATATATATATATATATATAAAGATATGTTCATCGGGTGTGCCATGTATGCTTTCCTATTCAATATGCAGGCGTGGTTGGGCGACGTATTCAACCTATTGATTTTTCTCTCTTGTTCAATAAGCTTTTGAGTTGGAGATAGATATATGAATGGAACACTGCTAGTGATAATGATGGTGGTGTAGCAGTTGTTATCATTTTTCTATACACTACGCGAATCCCTGATATTCGAAAATAATAATTCGATTGGTTTTGGAATTTACCTTTTTTGTTATGACTGCTGAGTTCTGAAATAAAGTAGAATGATAAGAATGGTGACGTCACTGCTGAAGGCCATTTTTGTCCTCAGTACAGCTAAAAAGATCTGAAATTGGGTAAATGTGTACTAAGGTAGGAAAATTAGTGGCAAATACGTCTATCATGCCTATTATTGTGAATTTGTTTCCAACGGTGACCAAATAAAAGGAAAAACGGAATGAAATGTGAATATCAGCTAAGTCAATGTATTTTATTTAGTGTAAAGTCTGTATGAAAGCTCAAATTTATAAACATTTTATGTGGTGTCAACTGTGAGTAGCAGATAGGATGACTAGTGATAAAACAAGCTCTGGGTTTTCCTTTTATAGTATTATCCATCAAGTAAAGTGTTGTACAACTTTAGTCTTGCGGTATTCTTCGTCAGCAGGTTCTCCTGCCTACTGTGGAAATACAGTAGAAGATTTTAAACGTTTTCCACCATCTTTTTAGATAAATAACTGAGTTATCCGAATGCATTCTGTAGGCTTTTTAAATTGTCTTTATACATTAATAATGGTGTTGTCGGGTGATCTCATTTCATTGTTGGCTATATCTTATAGTTATTAATCTTGATATGAATACGTCGAGATAAGATTGTAGAAAACCAATAATCAGAATATTGTTGGATGAAAAATATTCAGTAAATGAAACAGGTCGCTTGATTTTTATGAACTACTTGAAATAGTCACCTCAGAGGCCACTCACTGTCAAAACCTACACTTTTTGCAGAAATTTTTAATAATTTTGCTTATTAACACCCTAAGAATCCTTTTCTGTTTTCACATTATGTCCTTGTGTCCATAGGTATTTTGACTGGCTATCCGGCTGATATGAACTTCGACATTACTGTTGTTTCCTGTGCTTCTTATTGGCTGATAAATTAGATCAATGTCAATGATTGTTAATCGCTGACTGACCTGAATGCAGAGCTCATAGGAATTCTGTTCCATTCTTTGCATTTTCTTTTTTCCGGATTTCCACATTTTCCCATTCGAACCCATATTTACAATTGTCCAAATGTATTAATAGGTGTGGAGAAATATTATGACGCTTCCCTGATAGTTGGTGTTTAGGATTTATACCTTATAACATAATTCCGATTCAACTGCAAATTCTAAAAACAGACAAATCGAACACCACTGGGATCGCCTTTATCAGGCCTAACTGCTTAAGAAGTAATGTAAGGATAGAAAGTTATTGTATTACTATTGGTCGAAACAGAACTTTTGGTCCTATATGTAGATGATACGTTTATCATCATTAAAAGGAATGAATTATAACATGTCTTCAAATTAATGAACATTTTGATGACATAAAATTCACAACTGACTGAGAATTAAACAAAACATTTACAGTCTCAGACGTTCTGTTCACTGTAACAGTTTCGAGAAAAGTGGAAAATACAGTACAGAGAAGATCACTTCATACATACATATCTTTGACTATAGTAGTACAAATCTAACAGCACACAAAAGTAACTGCGTAAAACGCCGTTCAAAAGAGCAAAGACACTGTAGTTCATCTGCCTTACTGAGAAACGAAGAAACTATTTAGTGGCTGATTTCTGTAGAATTGGCTGTCTATCCGACTTCAACAAATGATGGCTGTCTAATCCACCGTCAGCTAAAAAGACATCCTAGGAAACTAACAAACGGATTGTTTTGCATGACATGAAGAACGTCCCAAGTTCGCAGACAGGTTACCGAAGTCTTTTGAGACCATTGTAACTCCACTGTTTGTTAAGCTGTTCAAAAGATACAAAGCAAAAGAAAAGGAAACAAAGGTTATCTTCAAAATAAACTGTAAAAACTGAGAAAAACACTACATCGAACGCAGTGGTTTCCCTCTTCTTATCCATCAACATGAACAACAACTAGTAGGATAGCGTCCTGATATATCTTTGTTCATATCAAAACATGCAGACAATCTCGTACAAAGTTTCAACCTGGTAAACGTCAAATTACGAGAAACAAAAAATGCAAAGAATGGGAGATAATTCTGGGGAGCTCTGCATCCTGTTTAATTAGTAGTTCATAGACAATTTATCACTGACCCAATCTACCAATCAATATGAAACACGAACAAAGTATGCGTCAGTCGGAAAGCCAGTCGAAATACGTATGGAGTCAATGACACGATTTCAACTGAAACAACAAATTACACCCAAGGTCATTCGGACAAGGTGGAGGAAATCTCACGGGTCACTTCTTTTTGGGGTTTGTGCTGATGATGTTGTCTGGAATGACAATGAAAACATCTTGACTAAACCATCCTTCCCAGAAAATATAACACTAGCAAAATCATTATTTTGTTTGAAAAGCACTACACAAATGCATCGTATTTTTTTGCATGAATTCTATCTTCTAAATGCAGACGTATTGCTGAAAAGTTTCAACTTATCAACTTATCACTTCCAGTTTATGTCAGCTTTTTATCTGACATCTTGATAATCTAGTCGTTCTATAAATGTGTAATTATGCAGAAAACCTTCACAACTCTTTTGAAAAAGACAAATCAATAGTGTTGACAATATCTTATATTCATCAGCTTTATTTACAGTATCATACGCTATACATATAACTGCGTAATGATAATTATACTTTATTTTAGCTCATTCCTTTGAAAACAGTTGATCATTCTAAACTATGATGTTAAAGACACTAAGCTGTGTTGAGTTTACTGAAGGGAAGAAGAATAAAATATAAGAACGTTGCGAATTTTTTACAATGACTGATAGTGTACTTGAAAAACTCCTTATTTACATGAAATAAATTATCAATAGGTTTTCTGTATGCAGCAACTTTCAAGAAGTAGAAACGTTTTTACAGAGGTTCACTGATGAGTATCATAAAACTAATTCTAGAGGTCAATAACTAAACTTTAACAGCTTTCGTAGAGTAAGTTTTAGTTGGGGTTCAATACCGTATCATAAAGGAGAAAAAGTTTGTTTCAAAGTGAGACCTACAGCAAAAAAGAAGTTGATTGAAAACTGTCTTGCCCACAGTAGCTGTTTGAAGAAATTCGCTCAGAATTACTACAAATTTATGAAGAAGATAAAAGAATACATCATTTTAGAGAAAAGTCAGTACCCTTAAAGTTGAGATTCATATGTGGTAGTGTGGTGGAGAGAATCAATAGGCAGATTAGAAGCTGAATCAAAATCAATCAGCTACACACTATAAGTTAGACCAGTTCCTAACTGTGGTTAATTCCAAGTGCATGGATCACATCACACGTACGTGAGGTATGAGATACATGAAAAGAGCGGAATGATGATTGTCTATCAGAGTTGTTAAATATTTACCCAAGAGGTTGTGCTCGATTTAGCAGTGATACTGACTGTAATCTAGCCAATACAAGGCACCAAGTTGACATGTTGAAATACTTCATGACATTAAACAAATAACGGATCATCAAAGGTTTTGGCATCTAATGAATCTGATATGAATTATGTAGTGAGATGAAGAAAGCTGCTAGTTTATTACTACCAAGTGGGTTAGTGTATCTCTGTTCCTTCATGAGTTTGATCTTTGTTTATGCTCATCCCCATTCACATTAGCGATTAATTCACCACTTTTTGAGCCCATTTTTCGTTTTGTATAGGTAGTTTCTATTCCCCACAGAACTGTGCAACCACTTTCAATTATATTAAGTCGTATCTTACTCATTCAAGAACATTCTTTGCCATTCGTGGTGTAACGTGTCCCTTATTTGACTGCATTTCACTGTTTTAATTTGTCTTTTTTATGAACTGAAATGCTCATTCTCTTATTTATTCAAGTTGTAAGTAGTTGAATAAATTATATGAAATAAAGTGATATCATCTTATTTTGCAAATGCTGTTCATATTGGGTAGTTTAATTTCATTAAAGCCAATAAGTCATTCAATAATTGTTTTAATATAATCCCGTGTTATGAAAAACAAGACATAATTTTATCAAATGATAAAATAATTAGATTTTATTTGATACATATGGCACAATGATGCAATATTACTTGGTTTATGATATTACAAGTACAAATTATTACTTATAATCCTATCAATATAAGCATACTACTTTTCGACATCTGATTCTTATAGTTCTGTCGTCCCATATTCTTCCTTTTTTGTGATAGTAAACTTTTACATATCTTGTTGAACAGGCTGGAATCAAGGTGACTTTTAAACCTACAAACTCAGAGATAAGCTTTACCAGCTTAAGTAATTGATAAAATCAAACCAATTCAGCAAAATAATCTAATCTGCCAAATCCAATTCAACGACTGCAAGGTCAGGTACATAGGTCAAACTAGGTTGTCGGGGTCAGTTAGATTATCGGAACATAGGAATTTAGCTAAATATAGAATGACCGATCTTAGTATGATCAACAATCTAGAAGCAGCCTCAGCTATAGTAATCCATGCACTAACACATAGCCACACAAGAGGGTGTGATAAAACCACTGTACTTAAGTTCATTATAATTATGTGGAGAGAGAGAAATTTTGACCCTTGAATCTTTGTTCATTGAATCAACACCTAGCATATAGAATAGGAATGATGCAACACCTACACCAGAGGTATGTACAATTCTACTGCCAAAAAAAATAAATA